CTGTGGTTAGGAGAGAAATGTCCTTGGTCTTGGGAGACCCGTGCTGAAGAGTTTAGGAGTAAAGTGATAATCCGACCCGTAGCCTGTGCCTGAGAGCGAGCCCTGGGTGCTGTGCATGTGTCTGTGTGGGCGTGTGCACAAGACTATGTGCATCAGACCCTCCTCTGCTTTAGGAGTGCTGGGATTGAGGGGTACACCATCACACCTGCTTGTCTCTTACGTTTTTAATTATGTGTATGTGTGTGTGCCTGTGTACATTTGAGCACAGGTGCCCACCGAGGCCAGAGCTTGGTGGGAGATGTCTTCCACCATCAAGGTCCATTTTATGTACTGATACCCTCTCTTCCTCAACTCAGAGCTGGAGCTCATGGATTCTGCTAGTCCAGGTAGCCAGTTGCCCCGCCCAGGGACCTCCCATTTCCTCCGCCTCCTGAGCACGGAGGTTACAGGTGGCCACGTTATTTGGGCGCTGGGATCCAGACTCCCTAACTCCAGTCCTCACACTAGATGACCAGTGCCTTGTCCCCAGAATCACCTCTCCACCGCTGTAAAGTTTTATTGGTAGGAAGGCACGCCCACTTCCTTTAGTATTTAAGGAACACCTTACTTAGCCTGATCTCAAAACAGGGCCTGGGACATCATATGTCAGGTGGACACAGCACTTGGAGAACTGGTTTGCTTTCTTCAGGAAGAACCATAAAGCATGTGTGATATGATTGTTAAGGACAGGGTTGACCCCCTCTATACCCCACCCCACCGCAAGACTAAATTAGTACAAAATGCAGCCCAACTTTTGTGTGTTCCCAGCAAAAAGAAAAGGCAATACTGATACTCTCTTAGCAGCCAAACAAAGCATCTCTCTCCCATCTATTAAATATTGATAATTGAGAAAGAAATGCTGGCAGTTTGGTGAGTCATTGCCTCAGGTGGCTGATGGTACGTTGTGTTCTTTTCTGTGCTAGACAGCTCCCTCTCCAGCGGATTGGTCATCTGTTGATACTCAAAATTAGAAAAGAAAATAAAAAATGAAAGAGAGGGGAAGAACGCGTTCCTCAGCCCGGTGGGGAAGAAGGATTAGGAGAAAGCAGCCGAGCTGCCTGGGAAACAGGATCAGAGCTGACACCTGCGTCGCCCCCAAGTCACGGGGTTTGAGGCGCGTGCTTTCTCATGGTGGCCACTAGATGGTAGTATTGCCAAGGTCAGCCTGCGTGTGCTTGCCTGGCTTGGTTCTAGGAGCAAGGCCCACCCGTGGTTTTCTGACATAGAAAACGACATGCCCCGTTCTTTGTAAATCCAGACTGTTTTCTTTAAAAAGATCAGGGTGTGGTGCGGCCTGCCTAGTCCTGGCATCTGGCAAGTGGACGTAGGAGCACCAAGACTTTCAAGGCTATCCTTGACCATCTAACAACTTCTAGGCCTGCCTAAACGACCTAAGACCCTGTCTCCGTTAAACCAATATTTGCTTACTTGTTTGTTTTTCTTAAAGTCTCGAGACCTTAAGCTTCTACCTCCGCCTGAGGTGCCGGATTGCCTGTGGGTGTTGCCTGGTTTATGCAGTACTGTGGGTCGAACACAGGGCCCCATGGATGCGAGGCAGGCACTCTACCAACTGAGCTACATCCCTAGGCCTTGAAACACATTTTTCAGCTAAAGGTCTAATTTCCATTTTTCTCCCCCCCTCTCAGAGGTATTTAACGTCTGTAGCAGTGACTGGCTTTGAACACCCAGTGAATTGCTTTAAAAGTAATTAACATTCGAGAAAGGAAACCTTTTTCTGTCTGCAAGACAGTTGACATCAAGATAGCCCTATAAAATCTGGACTCTATAGTCCAGCACCTGTTCACATCTGAAGCTTAGCCTTGCATCCTGGCATGGTGGCGCAGACCTGTAATCCTAGCACTTGGGCCTGCCCAGGCTCAGTTATGTAGTAAATTGGAGGCTAGCCTTGGCTGCCTGAGATCCCATCTCCACGGTAATAAATAGACATAAATACACAATGCCTTTTATTGGATATCTTGTGTGTGTGAGGTACCTTCTGTAGTGTTCCATCTCTGAGTTTGCAGGATTGACCCAGCCCCAGCTGTGTGCATCACGAGAGCATGCTTTTTCTATAAATGCTTTCCGAATCTCATCCTTGATTAAGATCTGAATCACAGTAGACCCCGTGGAGGGTTCCAGCCCTCTGCAAACTGTAGCTTGTTGATCTGGAATCGTGGGCTTGGCTCCCATGATGTCAGTGCTCTCACCTACAGCTGTGATGGTCTGTGGTTACCGAGGCCACTGTGTTCCTGTTTGGGTTTTGACTTTGTTCAGAATTAAGAGGCTTATAAAGGAAGCCATAGAAACCCCGAGTTCCCCAATTGCTGCGGTACAGGAAACAGGGCAATTACTCAGCGTCTGTTGTCCAAGCAGACTGTTTAAGATACAATTTCAAGACAATCTGGAAACACCTCCTGGCCTGATAATGTGTAGTTTAGCGGCGGGCAAGCTCTTATCCGGGTTTGCTCTGAGGACAATCACAGGAAGAACATTCTGCAGTTCTCATAAAATACCTTTCAATGACACCGCTCTTAGGCTCCAAGGCCTTCGTGTGACAATCAGGGAAAAGGGAAAAGTCTCTCTGAGTATATTCTGTGACCATGCTGGGAAGTTCAGTTTCCAGTGCTGGGATTCCCATGCTGGCCTAGGGGAATGGCTATCTGAACTCTGCCTGTGGTTGGCTCATCAGTTCATGTTGTTTTCATTCCTGGGTTCCTCCTGGAAGTCCCTGTTGGTTTTTTTGTCCAGGGTCTGTGTGAGACTGTCTGCTCTATCTGCTCTGCAGATCTGGCTATGTTCTAAGGCCAGCGATGTGAAAAGCTGCTGTCTGAACCTCAGCTGCCAGTCTGCCCTCTGAGGGACTCCCAAAGGCCCCGTGTGCTGAGTCCCCGTGGGAGGTAGGACCAATGAAAGCCTCATTTTCAGAAGTTGCCTCAGGAAGCTCTGAGGGGTGCTGCCTGTTAATACTACACTTCATAATGGTGCTATTATAGCTTCCAAAAAGCACAATTCACCCGAGATTCTTCAACAAGAAGCAAGCAGCGGAGTTGACATTTTCAGTTGCGTGTGGGATAACGCAGTCGGGGACACATTTGTTGTCTTTTGATAACTTTTTGTATTACTCAGAAAATGCATCCCTGATTCTGGTGACATTTTTATTGAAAAGGGCATGGAGGAGTTGGGGGTGGGTGGAATTTTCTGTGGTTGTGTGTGTGTGTTTTCTCTCACTGCCAGTCCCAGGAATTTTTTCATTAATATTTGAGATTTCCTATCCTAGCTAGCTACTTTTGAAAGCTAGAACTTTTACCTAGAACTCCTTAAATTTATGTTAGGGACCCAGCGCACCGCTTCTGTCCTCTTCCTGTATCCATCCCTGTTGTCCCGGAGACTTAATTTTCAGTCTCTGGTCTGCTCCGCCCTCTGGTCTCTCTCTGCAGGGTAACACACGTCTGTCTGTCTTCTCACTGCTCGTCCGGGTCTTTACCTCTGGCCCTGCCCTGGCATTTGGTGCTGTCTTTCTGGGTGTCTGAGCCTTGTTCCCCAAGAGCAGACAGACCCTGGATGGCTAGTGTCTAACTCGAGCATCACTTGGAAGACTAAGATTCACTGTCACTCAGACCCCACTCAGAATCACTGCATTTTGGCCCAGTCCTGCTCCATCTCCTCAGCTTGCAGTGGGAGGAGCCCTGGACTGAAGGACATCTCCCCTCCAGCTACCCTCGCGCCATCTTTCTGTCCTGCCTGCACTGCTCTGTCAGCCTGAGCTTCCTGTCACTTTCTAACGTGGTTTCCCCCCACCCCCAGGCTTTTATGACTTCACTTTCTGTCTAATCCTTCTGGGCATTTATTGGTTTACTCAAGGACTTAATGGATTGCCTGTCAGAGCTGGGTGTCATTGGTACAGTGAACAAAACCAGACCTTCTTCCTACTCTCATGGAGCTTGGTGTGTAGTGGGAAACACAGCTCGAAGCACACACCGTGAGTTCTAAGTGTCGCACGTCAGTGAGCGTGCTTGAGAACGTTTACAACACCTTGTGTAACCAGCTGCGAGACTGGCAGCCCTGAAGGGGCAGGACTTGTTAGGAGCACCCAGAGTGAGGGGAAAAGCCGGAAGCCCGGAAGCCCGGCTGAAGCAGGGAGGGGCACGTGCGCTCTAAAGCTTCCTTCTGCACTCGCTCTTCCACTTAGTTAATCTCATCTTCTCCCTTCCATGCTGAATTGTGCTTCCTGTATTCTCTGTGGCGGTCCAGACACTCAGCACACCCGCGGGGCTGCTGTGGCTGTGTGCTCGGTTTCAAATCTCGTTAGCCTTTTTATCCTACCATCCCATCATGGAGCGGTTGGTAGAACCAGTTTCCTTACTCTTCCAAAACACAGTGGTCAGGCTTTAAATTGCCACGTGATACTCCCCCACTTCCTCCTTTTAGGTTTTTTGGGGGGGGGGGCAGGGAAGGGGTTTCTTGTTTGTTTTGAGAAAAAGTCTCAGTTCTAGTAGTTCTGGTTGCCCTGGAACTCACTTTGTGGATCAGGCTGGCTTCAAACTCATAGAGATCCACCTGCCTTTGCCTCTCGAATAGTGGGATTAACGGCTTGTGCCACCAAGTCCAGCCTGTTGCTTCTTTCTTAAAAGCATCTCAAGGGCCTGGGGAGAATGCTCGGCTGGTAAACATTTGCCATGAAAGTGTGAGGGCCAGGGTCTGGACTCCCTTGCGCAGCAGTGCACATCTGTTTTAAATCCATAACGTAAATATCTGTGTCTTCTGACGGTCTTAGGTGACCCCTGTGAAGGGGTCGTTTGACCCCCAGGTCAACTGTAAAATGCAAAGATGGCTTGTTACCCTCTTTCCTTCCTGCAGGTTCTGCAGCTGATGCTCTGGGCACCCAAGCCGGCCCATGTGAGGAACTGTATGGGACTTGATCTTTTGCCTTTGAAAGCACTGACAGGCGTCTTATATTACAGGTTACTCAGCGGTCGTTATGACCTCCCGGTTACGTGCGTTGGGTGGAAGAATTAATAATATACGAACCTCCGAATTACCCAAAGAGAAAACTCGATCCGAGGTCATCTGTAGTATACGGTTTTTGGATGGCGTGGTACAGACCTTTAAAGTTAACGTAAGTACTCCCCTTTTTTTGGAGGGGGGAGGGGGGTTTGAGGAAATTCTTTTAAGTTCTTGGCTTATAAAATTGTAAGAGATTGACTGAAAAATGAAGTCTTAAGTTTTCAGATCTCAGATGCTGAGTCTGGGCTGGGCATAGCCTTGCAACCTTTGCCCCTGTCTCACCTTTTCCATTCTTCTGAGGGACCTGTCTGATAGCTCCATTCCCTCCCTCCCCCAAGGCAGAACTGGCCCTTGGATGACCATACTCTGTATAGAGCCCACGTGACTCTGCAATTTTAAAAATAGTAAGAATCACTAGGTTATAAGTCTCCTACTAAACTGTGAACCCCTTGAGGACAGGTCGGGTGCCCTGGCCCAGGACTGGGCACGCAGCTGTGCCCTGTGAGATGCTCAGCCTCATGGATGGCGGCACTCCACAAGGGCCTGGCTCCTGCTCAGAGCCCTTGATCTCAGGTCTTCCCGTAAGCAGCTGTGAGAGGCAAGAGTAGCAGCTGCCTCAGCCGGCTGCACGCCCACGCTCCACACACCACCTATGTCCAGGATTTCTCGGTGTCTCTCAAGCCTCACAGCATCAAGTTTGGCCCCAAGTCACCTGTACCCCATCTTTTAAAGAATATGCAGAGAGGCCGGGCGGTGGTGGTGCACACCTTTAATCCCAGCACTTGGGAGACAGAGGCAGGTGAATCCCTGTGAGTTCGAGGCCAGCCTGGTCTACAAGAGCTAGTTCCAGGACAGCTAGGACTGTTACACAGGGAAACTCTATCTCTCTTGAAAAAAAAAATATGCAGAGAAAGGAAAGGAGATGGGCTGGATATGGTAGTAAATTCCTATGATTCAGCACTTGGGAGGTGAATTTAGGAGTAGCAAAAGTTTGAGGCCAGCCTAGGCTACATGACACTGTGTCTTAAAACAAACAAACACAATGGTGTGTGTGTGGGGGGGCTGTTGAGCAGAAAAGCCCATAGCACTTAAACCATAATGAAAACTAACAGACTCCTACTGTAGCTGCTACTGCTTGCTCCACTACCCCTCCTTCTTCCCCTTTGACAGGGACTAACTGTCAAAGCCTGGCTGGCCTAGAAATCAGAGATCTGTCTGCATCTGTCTAGGATCAAAGGCTTGCACTAACACCCTTCATCTTCTACCCAATCATAAAACCTCTCTCTCTCTCTCTCTCTCTCTCTCTCTCTCTCTCTTCTTTCTACTGTTAGTGTTCTTGGTGCGGGCAGAAGGCAGTTTTCAGTTCTTCCAAACCAGGGCCAGAGCAGCTCGAGAAGTCCTCAGCAGCCCACAACACTCAAGCGCCAGCCAACAGTGGCGGTGATTAGCGGAGATCTGTTTCCCTGCCTTCCTTCCCACTGCCCCACTCGGTTCTTCGGCTCTCTCTAAGGCCATGCTTGGTTCTTCTGAGGATGGGATGTGTTATTTATCATCTCGAGAAAGGTCTAGAAAGAGAAGGACAAGATAGCTCAGTGAGTTAAGGTGCTTGCGGTCAAGCCTGGGACCCACATGGCAGAAGGTTGGCACATCTGGAACAGCGTGAGCCCCACGGGAGGAGAGCCAGAGGAAAGTGAGGTCAGAGATATCAAGAAGGGTTGGGGGTGGGAGGCCAACTGGAAGCTGGGCACGCTGGCTTCTACACTGGGCAGTGTAGAGAGGGCTGGATAGAGACCTGACATGGCCTGACTTAAGGGTCACTCGGTCCTCAGCAGCCAGGGATAGAGATGATTGGGAGACTGAGTCGCAGTCTCTGAGACAGGTTCTGGTGGTGGACAGAGCAGTCTTGTGGGCATGACTGGAAGGAGGCACCTGGAAGATGGGACCAATAGGACTTGCTGGCAGGCCTCTCTGATGTGCTTTGCTGCTCTGGTTTGTCCTCCCCTTCTCCTACTTTTTCATGAGATATGGTCTCACTGTATATCTGTGCCCTGGTCTGGTCGATGTATAGATCAGACTGGGCTCAAACGCACAGAGATCTACCTGCCTCTACCTCTCAGGTGCTGGGCTTAAAGATGTGTGCCACCACACATGGCTTTGATTCTATTTTAATTCTTTGGGGAAGGAGGAGAATTGAGCAGAATTGATACCTGAATGTTTGGATTCTGCAGTTCAGAGGTGAGAGACGCAATCCAGCGAGAACACAGGGCTTTGGCATTGCACTGATGCGAGTCAAATGGTCAGGTGATACTGGGTGATAGTGTGGGACTGCCAGGCATGGCATCTCTCAGTTCTCAGTGGCTAATGTGGGTTTGATGGGCATGGCGCTTCTCAGTGCCTGGATCTCAGTGCCTAGCGTGGATATGATGGGCATGGCGCCTCCCAGTGCCTGGATCTCAGTGGCAAGGCAGATGTTGAGGGTTACTTTGCAGAGTTGAAGCCAAGTGAGTGTGGTATCAATAAATTACAGTTGCTAATGACATAATAAATTAAAGTGGGAGGTGGAGCTAAGAGCACCTCTTGGGCTCCCTGACCAGCCAGCCTGGCTTGAGATTCACTAAGAAATCCTGTCCAAAATAATGAGATGAGGGTGGTGGATGTTATCCCAGCATCAACACACACACACACAAATACTACACACACCACACACACACATACACCACACACACCATACACACACAAACACTACACACACCACACACTGTATCTGAATTGGTAACTTGGGGGAACAGGTGGGCTTTTGTCTTTACCCATGGAGAGACTTTCTTGCGACGGATGCTGGCAGCTTCTAGAGCCTTCAGGATACAAGGTGGTGCATTCTGGAAATAGGCAAGGCTCATGCTCTCTACAACAGACCGGATTCCATGAAGTCACCCCAAAGATCTTGCCGCAAGAATGTCTGAGTTACCTAACTCTCCCCACCCTGGTCACAGCGACCCACTTTCTACACATTCCCTGCTCTCAGAAGCTCACAGGGAGAGCCTCTCTCTACCTGTCTATTTCTGACTTGCATTGTCCTGAGCTAAATGGTTGGGCTGATAGCATTCCTGGGAGGGTGACCTCTTAAAATAGAATCTGAAGTCTTCCAAATGCTCCACGCTGCTCTATCTCTCCCCCTTACCCTCCACCCCCCCACCCCCGCCGCCCACCAACCAAAGCCACCTTTTGTTTGTGCCATCAGCTTCAAGCCGGGTGGGCCCACTAGACAGAAGGGAAGGGTGACACTCCACCCTGTCATCCCGACACAGAGGGATTCCTTGTCCCTGTCCCCAGGTGGATCCCACTGTTCATGGCGTCCTCCAAGGACTCTACCTGCTGTGTCTCGACTGGTTCCAAGCCCTTGACAGCAGTTGACACTCCGTGTTAGTCACCGAGGAAGGAGAGCGCTGCGGTGGCTCTGTCCTAGCGCCCACATCAGGCTGCCCCATAAACACTGGAGTAGGCCGCTGAGTCCCACTCCAGAGTGAAGTGTGTCTGAATGTCCCCACCGGCTTCTCACTTCTGATGCCCGAGAAGCAGCGGGGCAGATAATCCCACAAGGGGACGTGTGCCAAGTCACTTCGAGGGTATTTTGGATGGCATTCGAGTATTTTTAGCTGTTAGTGGAGAGTTTTCCTCGCTGCACACTCTCTGGGTTCCTCCGGGGGAAGGAGCTACAGCTGGGCCCCAAGCAGCCAACAGGAGCTGACCTGGGATTAGCGTTTGCTGTGGGTAATCCGCGGCAGGTCATGGTGTGTTTGCTGTGTAACGCGTGCGTTTTCCAGAAGTCACTGGAGAGCCTCAGCTAAGGGATAGAAGCAATTTAGAAAGCTCAGTTAAGTTCGCAGTGTTGTGTGGTGTGTGTGTGTGTGTGTGTGTGTGTGCGCGCGCGCGCGCGCATGTGCGCGCACATGCATGTAGAGGCCAGAAAACAACCTGCAATGTGATTTCTCAGAGTCATTCATTGACCTGGAGCTTGATACGTCAGTCAGGTTGACTGACAGGTGCAGCCAGAGGCCAATATTGGGTGACTTCTTTCATTGCTCTCCACCTTATTTTTATTTTCTGAACCATTTTGTCTGTCTGTCTGTCTCTCTCTCTCTCTCTCTCTCTCTCTCTCTCTATATATATATATATATATATATATTCATTTGAGACACGGTCTCACTATGTAGACAAGGCTGGCTTCAAATTCACAGAGATCTGCCTGCCCCTTCCTCCTGTGCGCACGGATTGAAAATGTGCGCCCACTAAGATTTTATTATCATTTATGTGTCTGCATTAATAGTGCCCATGCAATCAGAGTCCAGCAGAGAGCATTAGGCCCCTTGTAGCTGGAATGTTACAGGTGTTGTGAGCTGCCCAGCTTGTGTGCTAGGAACGAAATTTCGGTCTTCTGCACAGTGCAGGAAATATTCAACCACTCTGGCCCCCGCCTTAGGTTTTTGAGACACGATCTCACTGAAGCTGGAGCTTTCCTACTTGGCTAGATTGCTTGGCCAGCAGGCTCCCAGGCTGTGTCTTCCATCGTACACACGTGAATTGTGGGGAGTTAAGCTTAGGTCCTCACTCTTGCAAGGCAAGCACTCTATTGACTTACCTTTCTCCCCAATCTCTTAAACTCAGAGTGTCTCAGTCATATTTATATAGTTTGTCTTAACCCTACTTTATATCCTTTGTGCAGTTTTGTGAACCTGAAATTTATTAATGCTTTTTTTTTTTTGGATTTTTTGAGACAGGGTTTCTCCGTAGCATTGGTTTCTGTCCTGGAACTAGCTCTTGTAGACCAGGCTGGCCTCGAACTCAGAGATCCGCCTCCCTCTGCCTCCCCAGTGCTATTAATGCTTTTGTTAACTCTGGGAAGTAGCTATTCATAAACTCTGAGGAGTTTAGTTTCCCTTTTTTTCTACAGTAAAAAACAAACAAACAAAAACGACAACATTGTTGCTTCTAGTTCTAGTTCTTGGTTCATCTTAATACTTTCTCCACTTGCTGCTTTCTGATCTAGAAACAAGATCTGGGCCAGTCACTTCTGGATTTGGCCTACGGCCATCTGGGCGTAACGGAGAAGGAGTACTTTGGCTTGCAACATGGCGACGACCCAGTGGACTCCCCCGTGAGTGTCCCCGCATATGAAGTGCTGCTTGCCTGCTTCGGCTGGTCTTGCAGCTTATGTGTGTTTTCTCACTCCACAGAGATGGCTCGAGGCAAGCAAACCCCTCAGGAAGCAGCTGAAAGGTGGGTATGACTTCACTGGTGTTGGTTCTTGGGGGTGTGGCCATCTATCTTTTGGGGGACTTAAGGGGGCGGGGCCAGGGAGAGATGCTTAGGCTGCGCTTCAGAGCAGCCTTAAGGATTCCAGCTGTGCAGAATAGTGAGGAGAGAGGAGGCAGCGCACAACAAGGGAGCCTTTGCTTCTGTTTATAAGGGAGAACGAGGATGAAGGGTGGGCCTTCTCAGCCCAGGATAAGAAATAGACATAAAAGGGCCAGGGGGATGTCTTAGTTGGTAAACATGCTGGCTGTATAAGCTTAGGCACCTGAGCTCGGATCCCAGCACCAATGTAAAAGGCTGGGCACTTTGGTGCGTGCCCATGATCCCAGTGCTGGGAGGATGAGTGAGACAGGGGGATTCCTGGACTTGGCTGGCCAGACCCCCTAGCCAAATGATGAGCTCCAGGTTCAGTAAGAGACCCTGTCTCAAAAAATTAGATGGGGAGCAGTGGACGAAGATCCTGACATCAGCCTGTGGTTTCCACGTGCAGATGCAGACACACGTGTGCATGTATGCACACAGACATGCATGTATGCTCACATGTATTCACACACACACAAAGAGAGACTGACGTAAACCCTCATACTTTCCAACAGCTTCCAACATACTTCCCACAGATGCTGGCTCATCTGTCCTGAGTGGCCCCCTGTGTTACTCTCAGCCCCAAGTGACACAGCTACTCCGGTCATGCCCAGCCTACCCTCTGGCCACCTCTTCTCAGCCTAGCTGCCCTTGCGGCTCTCATTGGCCCTGATAGGTACCTGTTGTCCCAGACTAACTTGGCCAGTCTGCACGACTTCCTCTGAACCGCCCCTCAGTCTCCTCCTTCTGTAAAGAATGCTTTTCCTCTTGACCCAGGGTCCATGGCCACTCCCCAGAGTTCCACAGATATCACCGGTTACCTGAAGGGAAGCGCTAACTCTCATTTCTTTGACCCTTTGTGGCTGAGCGCGCCTCCTGCTTCCTCACAGTGAGGTGTCTTAGCTGCCTCTTGGGACTTCAGCCTACTTTGTCCCCTTCAGGATTCTTGACCCACAGGAGGTGGCCAGTCACATGAGGCCTAGGTAGCTGTTGTCTGTCATTCTCTCTCTGACTCATTCTTGCAGCAAACACATCCCTAAGTGCTCTGACCAAGGCAAAGCACTGTGCTAAACCTGGGAAATGCGGTCAAGCCAGATTTGAGCCCTGCTCTCAAGGTCACATGTAGAAGTTGCAAAGAGGAGTTCTGTGATAGTACTATGCACATTCACTTGTGCGTGTATACACGCACACATGCACACACACAGGCTCACACAGCACACACATGCACGCACACACACACATATGTGTGCATGTTCTCTGAGTCCACAGAAGAACCAAGAAAGACAGAGACTGTACCTGAAACACCAAAGTAACAAATAAAGGAAGGGGGAGATTGGACAGTGAACGCGGGATGGGGGACGACGATGATGACTTTGCCTCAGAGCGAGCGCCACCCACTGGTAGCTAGGTGTGTAGACAGAGGCATACCCACCCACCCACCATTAAAGACTCTGCTAGCCCCATCCCAGAGGTGACAAAGGAAGGAACTAAGAGATGGCAGAGTGGAGGCAGGATGAACCAAGACAGAAGACGAGATGAGCAGAAGGATTAGCCAGCTGGGCAGATCACAGAAGGACTTGGGTTTCAGAGATCACGAAAGTGCTATGTGAGCCCGGAGACAGGACCTGGGCAGATTTACCAAGTGCCAGAGACAGGGTGAAGTCAACAAGGTCGGGTCTCCCCATGTCTTGGCAACAGTGATCTTCGGTCAGACTCGTGGCTAGTTTTATCCCACAGGCAAACTGGCTCTTGGCATTGATGCCTAAGTCACATCTGAGTGGTAGAGCACTCAGGGTCACAGTGACTGTTGTGATCTACCTTGAAATTGTGACAGTGTTTTCTAGTTAAAAAAAAAAAAATCAAGTCAAAAACTTGAGTCAGTGTTACAGAGCGTTCTGGTCTTGTCACCGGTGCCCAGTCAGGAGAGGCAGTTCCGTCCCTGACTGTGAAATAGATCCACCAGCCCGCATGTAGCCATGGTGGTGGTGAAGTTCTATAGGCTACCTGGAAATGTTGCAGAGGCATAAATCACAAGCTAAATGCAGGCTGCTTCCGTTCTTTGTGAATTTTATGGATAGATGCTGGTTTTAAGACTTTAAAACATTTTTAGTATGGGTATCATAGTTTGAGCAGGGCCCTAAGGCAGATGTGCAACCGGAAGTAGGTGATCCCACACTGGGGCCTTATGAACTGTTAACTTATATACTCTGAACTTGAAGTCGGAGCTTTTATAGTGGAAAATGGGGTTGAGTGAAAAGTGCTCCCTTTATGGGGAGTAGCAACTGTGTGCGTTGACTTTTTTCTTTTTAAGGGAAAACCTAATTTGTCTTTGAAAAATGTTATAGGAGGTTTCCCCTGTACCCTGCATTTTCGAGTCAGATATTTTATACCCGATCCCAACACACTGCAACAGGAGCAAACCAGGTAATGATCTTTTTCTCTTGAGATTCTCTATCTAGTCTGTACAAAACGGGAGCCCCCCAAAAATGTGCTCTTTGTTTTCTAGCCAAATCATAACTTGATTGGGGTATGACCTCCCCAACTATCGTGATCCAAGAAAACCTTGGGGGTGCCTAGGTTGAAAGTTTTAACTGGCAGTTTTGTTTTCAGTTTGTGGCCTGTGTCTCAGCCCCAAACTGGTGTAATTTCCAGTGCGTGGAGACCCTCTCTCTCTCCCTTCCTCTATCTGGTAAACATTATGAGTATTAAGGATGCTAAGCCAGTTCTTCTCATGCAGGCCGAGAGTAGAGCAATCACCCACAGGGCACTTAACGTGGAATCTGAGGGGCCGGAATAAAGTCCCTTGAGGAAGACAAGGCTTAGCTGTAACCAGAACTTTCCATCAGATCCCCTTTTACAGGGGTGAGGAAGGGGAGTGGGATCTGGCAGGACCTATCTTGTTGCTGGGTGAATCAGCAGGTTTAGGAAGTTTGGGAGGCAGATGGGAGGGGGGAGTGAGCAGTGATAGCAGCTGTTTACCCTTCCAGCTTGCAGGCTGGGCTGGCCCTGGTTGGTCCTGGCAAGTGGATTTTCTGGTTGGGGAGACAGGCCTGCGGGATGGGATGGGATGGGAAAGGATGGGATGGGAAGGGAAGGGAAGGGAGGGGAGGGGAGGGGAGGGGAGGGGAGGGAAGGGAGGGGAAGGAATAGGGAAACTGGGGCGTGCGGGATGAATGGGAAGGGAAGGGAAGGGAAGGGGAGGGGAGGGGAGGGGAGGGAAGGGAAGGGAAAGGAAGGGAAGGGAAGGGAAGGAATAGGGAAACTGGGGCGTGCGGGATGGATGGAATGGGAAGGGAAGGGAAGGGAAGGAATAGGGAAACTGGGGCGTGCAGGATGGATGGCATGGGAAGGGTGCAGTAAGAAAGTCATGTTGCCTTGGGATGGAAGACTGTGCCAGCCGCTTCCCCTGTTGTATGCCACACTGAGCCCCTTAGTTATGTGCCCCTTTGTTATTCTTAAGGAGGGAAATTGTCTCCCTGGGAAGAAGAAGCTGTTCTGGATTATTGAATCCTATTTTATGGCAGAAAACTCCCACCAAAGAGATGCCATTAGCTTAGACATAAACCGCTCTCTCATTTTCCTTTCTTCCTTTTAATGGCACACAGCATTCATATTTTAGCTTTTAATATGTGTAAAGGCCACTTGTTCATTTATTACTCTGTTTTTCTTTCTTGTGTATGTGCTTCTTTCTTCCACAGAGGCAGGCCCTGGGGCTGGACTGTGTTTATTATTATGGTAAATGTGAAGCCTGGATAAGGGAGGCCTGGGTGGCTCCTTGGGAAATCACAGTGAAGTGCATGCTGCTTTGAATCATTTTGGTGCACCACCACCACCACCACAACCATCACCACTACAACCATCATCACCATTACCACCATCAGTACCACCAGCACCACCATCACCACCACCCCACCACCACAACCACCACCACCACCATCATCACCACCACCATCATCACCGACACCACCACCACCACCACCAGCACTATCACCACCACTGCCACCACCACCAGCACTATCACCACCATCACCACCACCCCACCACCACAACCACCACCATCATCACCGTCACCACCACCACCTTCACCATTACCATCACCACCACAACCAGCACCATCATCACCATCACCACCAGCATCATCATCACCACCAAAACCACCACCACCACCAGCACTATCACCACCACTGCCACCAACACCACCACCAGCACCACCACCAGCACCATCACCACCATCGCCACCACCATCACCATCACCTCCACCACCATCACCAGCATCACCGCCACTACCACCACCAACACCACCTCACCACCACCATCACCACATGACTCTTTACTCTGGTGAACAGTACTGTTCAGAGTCTCAACCGAGCACGTCATGTCGTAAGCTGACTGACATAAAACTGGTAGCATCATCTGTCAGGATGATGTTTTAAACTACCTTACCAGGGGTTCTTCAGAACAATCTGAAATAGCAGATTCTGTTTGAGGGATGCTTTAGAATTCCACAAAGAGCCAGACACAATGGCAGCATCTATAATTGGGGAGACAGAGGCAAAAGGATCCCTTGAGTTTAAGACCAGCCTAGGCAACGTATCAATACACTATCTAGAAAAAAAAAAAAAAGAACAAACCTTGAAGAATTATATATGTACATGTGCTAGTTTTTTAAGTGACCATTGTGGCTCACCAAATTGATTTTTGCTCAGCTAAAAAGTTCCAGCTCATGTATGGTGACTGTCACCGTCCACCATATCTCTTTCCTGGAGTGCCGGAGCCCCAGGTGTGAGACTCCCTGTCTGCAGGTCTCTGAGTAGAAAGACTTGCCGGAGATACTTCCAGGATCAACCTTATCTCATGGTCCAATGCCCTTCATGGCCATCAGCTTCTACGCCCCCACGGGAAAGAAGCCGAAACCTTGTGGAGTGAGTCTTCCTGCCCTCAGGGGACATCTAGGGAATGTAGGGTAGAGAGAATCCTTGTGAGGAGAGGCTACCTTCAGATCTTCTGAGGAGCTGTAGGGACGGGAACACACAGGGCTATGATGGGGAGCAGATTTTAACTGGAGATGAATGATAGACCAATTCTTTTCCTTACCTGAGTTACAGGTCAGTTCCTCATCAGAGTCACTGGTTCTGATGTCACATCCGCTCCCACCTTAAGGTGCATAGCGTGCAGCCACTATAACCGCTTCCTCCTGAGCAGTGGGTACCAGGTATCACATTCAGCAAGAACTAGGGCAGCATACTGTTCCTTTAACCAGTGAGCAGCTGGGACTAGGTCATCTTTTTCTTAGAATGGGCCTTAGATTCCTCCACTAATTCACACATGGGATTGATTTTTGTTCTTTAATTTGTATGAAGGCTTTCACCTCTATTCCTGGCACATATAATCTTCATGTGCTCTAGGTTCATAGCCACTCCAAAGAAGAGTTTCCTTTTTGGCTCCCAAGAATTAAAGAAAGGGCCAGGCATGGGGGCACATGCCTTTAATTCTAGCACTTGGGAGGCAGAAGCAAACAGATCTCTGTAAGTTTGAGGATAACCAGGGCTGAAAAACTGAAAAAAACGGGGGGGGGGGGGAGAGGAAAAGAAAGAAAAAGAACCAAAGAAGGGATGTAGTGATGACAACATTGGTTGTTTCGTTTCTTATCTAGGACAGGAGACAAGTCATTGTTTTGTTTTGTTTTATTTTGTTTTTCTTTTCCTGAAGTTGAGGTCTGTTCCATTTTAAATTCTGTGAATGTGCTAAAACAACCTAGCCAAAAGCAACAGAGGAGAGGAAGGGGTTTGTTTGAACTCCCTTGCTAGGGAATGGTACCGCCCGCAATGGTCTGCCTCTTCCCATATTGATTAGCTTATCAATGCTGTCCCCGCAGACATGCCTACAGGCTGAGATGATGCAGACCATACCTCATTGAGACTGTCTTTCTGGGTGGTTGTAGTTTGTGTCATCTTGACAGGCAGCCGTCACTGGATTTGGATGGAGTGCACTCTCAAAGGGGGGTCAAACATTGCTAAAGTCAGACATGCCGAGTCGCTCCCATTGATCGCTTTCCTTTCTTCTCGGGGGCACTTACTTGACTGTTTATCGTGAGCCTCCGCAACTGCTGTTACTGATAAATTTAGATCATTCTAAGCAGCATTCTGCTTACTGGCAATCTCTAATTACAGTTTGCACTCCTGGGGGAAATGATAAAGCCTCCTAAGTTTGGGGTGCATTCTGATATTCTCATTTCTCTACACATGATGCTGTGGGGTTGACTCAGCTTTGCCAAGGACCAGGTGGCATTTGGTGAATGTTTATGGTCTCATTTCTGTCCGTCAATGAAAGCCCAGGTTTTATCAGTGGATCAACTACAGCTCTGCCTCTCTCTTCTTTCTCCCCGTTTCCTTCCAGGGGGAGAGAACACTTAATTCTGATTGAATGTTAGCTTGGGTAAACATAGAAACAAACTAGAAAGAACTGGCTATGTTCTCCTAGGTGGAAAAGATGATCCCACGATGGAGTGGGCATGAGTTAGCATGAGTATTTTATTACGTTCGTTATTGCCGTGACCAAATCCTTAAACAGCAACGAGAAGCTACGAGAGGGAAGAGGGTTTACTTCGGCTCACAGTTCTAGAGGCTCCAGTCCCTCACGGTAGAAGGCATGGCGATAGGGGTGGGAGGCAGCTGATCGCATGCTACCCACAGTCAGGAAGTACAGGTGAATACTAGTGTTTGGATCATTTCCTCTTTTATTCTGTCTGGGACCTCAGTTCATGAGTCATTCACCAGATTCAGGGCGGGTCTTTCCATCACCAGTTAAAACTTCTGGAAAAGCCGTCAGATACACCCAGAGGTGTGTTTCCATGGTGATTTTCTAAATGCAGTCAAGTTGACAGAAAGGTGAACTACTCCTATGCCTGTGTGACTAATACCATCTAACGGTGCCCAAGGTTCAACACAATACAGAGTGTCGATAATAGATCCTATTAAGACATGGTAATGACTTATATGTAGCACACAGATTTTTCTCGGAGCATGTATGTCCAGGTTAAAGAAAGCAAAGCTAATCCATAAAACCTCTCTGAGCATCCATTCCCCCAGACTGTAGCGAGTTCATTGAGATAGATAGCCTTTAGGGCTGCTTAATTTTGTAGTACGATTTTTTTTCTTGCAAGTTCTTTATCATAACGTTTTAAGAAGTTAAACAGAGATGGTGTTACAGCCTCACAGATTGACTGGGATGCAGAAATGAGGAAGAAAGCCACAGAGCCAGGCACTAGCCCCAGGCTGCAGATAGGAGGTTGCAATACTGTCTGAAGCATGCAGGTCTCAAAACAGCCAGCTCCCTGACCTTTCTCAACCCCGAGGAATATGAGCCTGGTTTGTTTAAATTGCCAGCCTGATCTCCCCCCCCCCCCCCCCCCCCCCCCCCCCCCCCCCCCCCCGCGCTTCTGCGCTTGTCTGTATTAGCTTTCAAGAGGTTTTCCTTTTGTCACTTTTGGCTAGACCCTGGAATGTCAATCCTGCTTGATTCTGGGTTTTAAAAAAGAGTGGGGGAGAGGAGCCAAGCGTCACATGTATGCCGCGTCCCTAAATATAAATACCTCCACGGTGCTTCCTGGCCTTGCCAGGGCTGTTGATGTTGGCCTCCTTTCTTCCCCCCTATCTGTCTCAGGGCAAAGATGCAGCCTGCACGGCTGAGGGGCCTGGAACAGTTTGCCCCCAGAAGAGCTCTGGGCTTTCAAGGCTGATTCTGCCATTTTTGGGTCCTGGCAACAAGGCTACCAATATTTTTGCTCCAGCACCTGTTCCTAGGCTACAGGAAAAAGCTCTGCTGGATGTTTCACCACAGTCAAGATGTGATCTTCACAGGCCCACCTCCTTAGTTTCACACAGAGGAGCGGGGGGGGGGGGGGGAGTAGACATGCCCATTCGGTGTTTAGAGCAGTGACCTGTGAGTGTGTGGGGCAGCTTGTACAGAATGCTGGGGGTCCCCATGCCTAGTTAAGAAGGCTCATGCTGCAAGTGGGGCACCCTTGACTCCTACCCCATCCATCCCCTCAGCCCGCCCTAGCACAGGGCACCTAGGCAGGTTTTCAAATAGGTAAAATGGTATTTGCGTACGTATATTTTTTAAAAGTGCGTTTTTGTTGTTGCTGCTTGCTTATTGCACGTTGAGCATTCGCTAACAAACACCATTGTTTCCCAGGCATCTGTATTTCTTACAACTGAAGATGGATGTTTGCGAAGGAAGGTAATGAGAATTTCGTATTCTTCTTTTCCTGTCAGGCTAGCCAGATTCCTGGTTTTAATCTAATGAGCACTCATTCCTGGCAACAGAATTCAATTTAAACAAAACCCGTATGTTGGGCTGTTTTCAACTCCGCCTTGGTTTACAGAGGCTAGCGGTCGAGAAACTTTGTTCCATTCTATTCTTATTACAAAAGATCCAGGGGTCTTTCTGGTAGAGACCTGGGGATTTTAAAGAGGAAGAAAAGACACTGGATGTGAAATGGGCCTTAGTTCAGGTAGCAGAAAGGTGCAAGTTAGAGGCGCTGCTGAGCCCGTGGTACTTCTGGGTGATTCCTCTTCTCTTTGGAAGGAATTGTGTTCAGATGTGAGCACCTGCTTGTGAGTCAGGACTCTGGGTATATCCAGGCCGTCTCACTTGGAAGGTAGCTGTGAGTGGCTAGAAACACAATTAAAATCCCAAGCCCACAGAACCCCGTCTTCCAAATCCTTAGTACTTTCTTTCTTTTTAAAGATATGTATATTTATTATTGTTAGAGATAGAGTGAATGTGTGTGTGCATATGCCTGTGTGTGTATATATGCACGATGAATGAATATGCATGTGCATATGCCTTTGTGTGTATATGCATGATGAATGAATGCGCATGTGCATATGCCTATGTGTGCATATGCCTGTGTGTGCATATACCTGTGTGTGCATATATGTATGATGAATGAATGTGCGTGTGCATTCGTCTGTGTGTGCATATATGTTATGCTTGATGAATGGATGCATGTGAATATGCCTATGTGTGCATATATTCATGATGAATGAATGCATGTGTACATATGCCTATGTGTTCACATATACATCATCGTACACATGTGGAGTTGGTTCTTTCTTTCCACCTCTACTCGGGCTCAGGGGATTGAACTTGGTCACCAGGCGTATGCAGCAGTGCCCTTGTCTGCTGAGCCCTCTGACCTGCTGGTGCCTTAGCATTTTCTTGCCTTATGAAAAAAATCCACAGCAGAAAAAGAGCCCCCTCTACTTCCATTCTACTCACCCCCACTTCTTCCTGGGACTTTAGTTCTACTGCCGAGGGTCATCAGAGGCCACTGGACTGCCGCACCACAAGGAGGCTGGCAGTTGTGCCGGGTGACATGAGACAGGAGCCCATGAGGCCAGTGAGACCAGTGTGGGTAGTGGGGGTCACAGCTGACCGAGGATTTCAGGAGCTCTGCTGCTACTGTGGCCTAGAAAATTCACTGTGGGTTGCTGGAGATAAGCCAAATTTAGGGTTGGTGGAGAAACTAAAAATTGGATTCGCCTGGACAGCAAGAAGGCTCTCCCATCCCCCATTCCAGCTGGAAGCCATATGTGGTGGACTTGGAGGAAAACAGAGGGCGGGCTTTTCATACCCGCCTGGAGGCGGGTATCACAGTCCACCAGACAGGACAGAGCAGCTGCGAGGTCTTAAAGCAGAGGGCCGATATGTCAGACATGGTGTCTGTGTGCACACGGAGAGGCTGAAAGAGACCAGCGCTTCCCTCTGCTCCGGTCCTGCAGGCCAGAGACGGGAGTCTCCGTGAGGGGCTAGCAGAACCGCTGACTGTTTAGTGATCACAGCCCACCCCACAGGAGCATCATGAACTCTCCGTATCTTTTCCCCATTGCATCCCTTCACCACCCAGCACAAGCTGTGCACCAGAGCTGGGGACTCCTCTTTTGTATTGTGAGTCAATCTCATTATTCCTCAGAACATGCCTGGCTCCCCTTCTTGGGCTGTTCTTTGCAGGCATGGAAACCCGCTCCATGGCTCCCTTATGTTCAGACACCTTGTTTTTCCATAAATACTGTCCTAGTGCCTGTTCTATGGGGCAGGTTCCAGCCCGTGCTGGCCACCTGGCCAGGGCCTCCCCTTCAGCCTTCCTATACTCAGAATGCTGGGCCTACATTGTCCTCCTTTTTGCTTTCCCAAACAAGATGCTCCCTTGGAGCATCCAGATGAGTTAGGAGGAATCTACACCCTGAAGTAGGCCCCCCGTAGTGCCTTGTTAGCTCCCCAGGTGGCCCCACCACCTGCTCTCAGGCTCATCCCAGGTGTGCATTAGGACATCTGTGGCCAAGGATATTGTGGTCCCATTAGCATTTGCCTTGAGAGATCAACTTTTCTGACTGGTTTGACTAGTCACTGGTAACTGGTACTGTAGGACCATCTCTTCTCTGCAGAGATGGGTCATCCAGGGCAGTCCCTTTATTTGACACACGGAGGCCTGAACCCCAGAGAAAGAAGTCTGCATGGGAGTAGATGGAACCCTGAGAGGAGAATACAGGTTGTTACTGCTCTAGACTAGGTATTTGAACAGCGACCATTCTGTGGATTTTATTTATTTATTTTTGGTATTTCGAGACAGGGTTTCTCTGTGGCTTTATGGCTTTGGAGTCTGTCCTGGAAGTAGCTCTTATAGACCAGGCTGGCCTCGAACTCACAGAGATCAGCCTGCCTCTGCCTCCCGAGTGCTGGGATTAAAGGTGTGCACCACCACCACCCAGATGGGATTTTTTTTTTTCCTCTTCAGTCTCCATAGGTTCTTTCCATTTAGTTTCTGCCTCCATAGCTTGTTTCTTGGCTGTCGCCCAAATCCATCTTCTAGCAAAGACACTAGCTAGACAGTAAGCAAAGCTCATCTTGGTAGGAGAGTGGCCGCTTGTGCTCGTCACCTACCTGTCTCCCCGCTCTCCTGAAGATGCTATGATTCCGAATGGGCAGATAATGAGCAGACCTAGGAGCATCCACAGACCCAGAGAGACACGAGTTTCCACGGGAACACTCAGAATTGCTTTACTCGTGGACCAGGGGGCCTTCCGATAGGGGATGCAACCTTCGTATGTACCTCAAGAACCTGCAGGAGTACAGTGGACAGAAAGGGGGACTGCTGGGGGCCACCCCATTAGACAGGCAAGTGATGACTCACACGTGCGAACTTCATAGGCTGCCATGGAAACTACATGTTCTCTCCGCTTGCCACCAGGCTGGAAGATGCTTTTAAAATCTCATTGTCTGCCAGTGTTGCTGGTAAGGACGCTTTTCCCAGCCCATTCTTCCGCCCAGCAGGGGCCCTTGCTCCAGGTCTGGTGGCTGAGGTCTTGAGCAGACCACAGAGTCAGATTTGAATGGAGAGAAAAAAAAAAGAACAAAGACAGGTGATGGCGCTGAGAACAGGCATCTGGGGGAGGCGGGGCAGCGAGGTTAACTGGAAATAAGAACAAATCTAGGCCAGACCTGGATTCCTAATGGGTGGCAGAAGACAGAGAGACAGGCAGATGGTTGAGTCCTGAAAACCTCAGCAAGGTCCGTGGGTTGAGGAATCGTCAGGAGTTAATGAATTAAGTAATTGCAATTGTTAAAGCATAGAATACCTTTCTTCCCCCTTTTATTTTTTCCATTTTAAAAGGTGTCACCATTCCAGGACAGACGCATCCAAGAGTCCTGTAAGAGGTAGTCAGAGCCCAGCAAATCTTGGGTCTATTAGAAAGCATGGAAGGCTGCTTGCATCTCAGGTTCTATTCTCTCCCTTTCCCTCTTGCAATATGAGCATGCCACCCAACCTCAGACCGTCAGCATCCTGGCCTTTGTGATGGTTATAATTTTAAACCAAAAGTTATTTTTTTTAATCAAAGAACTCTCTAAGGTATTCCCTGTGTCATTTGAGAACAGTTTGTATTGCAGTTGCCTTTAGGATTCACGTTGCTCATTAACAGTTAAGGGAACAAAGAAAGCCACAGGCTGTCTGTGATTTATGCGTGCCCATGGTTCTTCTGTCTCACCTCATCCTCATCTCTCCCGACAGGTTGACGTGCCCTCTCAACTCAGCCGTGGTTCTAGCCTCCTATGCTGTACAATGTAAGTTGAGGGAGACTGACTAGGTGGTGGCCATCTCGTTCCAGCTAGCATATTGAGGAACCCCCGGCTGCTCTCTTTGAGGTAGTCTCTTCCCCCAGGGTCCTGGGATGGAGCGCCTCGTGCTGTCCTGAGAGTAAAGCTTTTAACCTGGCCCACACTCTCCTCTTCCTTGGGGATATCAAATGGACAGTAGTGTGGCGGGGGAAGGAGCGGTGTGGTGTCTGTATTCCCCCAGGGAGCTATGAAACGGCAGGCAGCTACACCCGGCTTTTTCCAGAGCCTCTGCCCAGGTATTTGGAACTGCTCTCCATGCAAACCCCTGTGGAACAATATTTATATCTCCTGCCCCCTCCGAACATGGAAACTGAGACCCAGCTGGGTTAACAGAATTTGCTGGAAGGCTCCCCTGCTCCTTGCCTGATGCCCATCTAAAGTGCTGCTGAGATCTTATGAATTTATATTCAGAGCATCAGTGTAGCCAATGGTCTGTGACCATTCAGAAGCAGGAAGATCACAAGTTCAAAGTCATTCTTGGCTCCATGGTGAGTTCCAGGCCAGCCTGGATGGCTTGAGGCTAGCCTTAAAAAAATATGTATGAAGAAGATAATTTGAATGTTTGATTTAGCCCATTTAAATATTATTTTAATATATAATCAGCATAAAAAATGAATGAGCTATTTTTGAGGGTTTTTTTTCTTTTTCTTTTCTTTCTTTTTTTTAATTAAATCTTTGAAACCCCATCTTGGTTCTGCAATTTCTGTGCATTTCCAATTGAACAAGCCACACATAATTACGGGTACCACTGTGGATAGAAAATCCAGATAAAGTTTTCCTCTAAGACTGATTAAGCTACCGAAGAAATCTCTTCATTCTGTCATTAAAAGTTAATCGTATTCGGTGTCAGATCCCATGACAAGTGAAATGCCACTTTGCCTTTTGTTCGCTGTGTGGTGCCAGCATAGAGCACCGTGTGACTTGTATTGATCTGTGTAGCAGCCAAAGACTGGAGTGTCTGTCCCCTCTGCCTTTTCCAGAGGTCTCAGCCGACATGGCAGGTGGCTAAGGAAGCACCCTAGGTCTTTCTGACCAGGTCTCAGAGCAGATGCAGACCCAATTACCCATCTTTCTGTGGCCTCAGAAACATCACGGCAAAAGAGAGAGAAAGGAAAAAGGCTGCTGAGGAGGTCCCAGGTGCACGTCCTCCCTTAGCAACCAGGATAGCAACCAGAGAGGTGAAGAACATTGCTGGTGAACCCACAGCTTACCTGCCTTCTGCATGGAACCAGAGTGGGAGAACGAGGCTACTGGGGTTGGACCCCACGATGTTGAGCATTCAGCTAGCCTCCTAGCCAGGCGGGCACCCAGCATCAGCCCCATTTCCCCCGCCTCCTCTTCTCAGGATGAGAAACTCAAAAGAGGTTGCTCTCTTTCTGTGTCACCTCTGGGGCAGACCAGCCTGTGGCACCCACATGGGGGATAACCAGTGTGTGACTTTTCCTGGGAAGCCATGAGCCAACAATAGGGCACCAACCACAGACCAAAGAAACTATCCCGTCCAAATCCAGTTTAGTTGACCACCGGGTTTATACTTAAAGGAGCGTGGCTGACTTTAAAAAGAGCTGCCTCACCAAATTCCACCCGACGTGGGTGATGGCCTCCCCAAAAGCTGCATGAATAGAGCTACCCCTTCGGTTAGCATCCACCTATGTACGTCAGCACCCGCTGAGACCAGGAAGAGCTGGGGCAGGGTGGCTGGTAGTAGGCGGGAGAGAATGAGTGCTACAGCCTGGCGACCCTCACTCCTTATAGGAGTTAATAGGCACTGTCTTGTGAGGCTCCGGGATAGTGATCACGGCTGCTGTGATTAAGATGGTGCCGGGCATGTCATGCCCAGAGAACAGCGTGTTTTCTGAACACATAGCCAGAGTCAGCGTGTTTTCATCAGTCTCTAGATTTATGACTCCTGGTTTCTACTGGACTGATCAGTGACGGGGGGCAGGGACTTGACCTTCTCACATTGAAGACAAGGTGGGTGTTCACCGCTGGAGGACCAGGGCTGAGGGGCAGGAACTTGAAGAAGGAGAGAATTGTGCTCGGTTTAGCCTTACCCTACTCATTTGTCATTGAACCTCCGCTTCCCACCTGTGAATGACGGTGATGCTGGAACGTGGCAATATGGCTGCTTCAGATTAAATACTGAATGCAGTTCAAGGTGGCCCATAGCCAAAAGTTCCTCATAGCCGGACCAACACTGACCGAGTCAGTGAGAATAGGTAGGGATGGAAGCCGTGTTGCCTGGGTCTTGGCTTCTATCTGTGTGACCTGACCTCCTGGGCCTCATGGTGTCGGACAGGACTAGAAATGTCTGTTCTACTTTGGAAAGTGGTAGGGAGGAGATCATTAACCACTGTAGGAAGAACTCTTTGTATAGTTTTAACTCTTACTGTGTCTTCCTGTCAGTCCAGAAGAAAACCGTGTTGTCTGTAGGGTGGGCCAGATAACTCCTTGTATAACAGTGCTTGTGGCCAAGCTTGATGCCCTGAGTTCAGTCAGGAACCCACACTGGAAGGAGTATACTCACTCCTGAAAGCTGGCATCTGACCTCCCTACACAACATGGAAAATAAAAACTAAATTTAAAAGTCACCCATGATAGGCAATAAGCTATTATTAGAGAAAAATTAAAGACCTGTGTTTAAGACATCCTGTTGCCTGCTTCTGCCGTCAGACTTCCCACTGTGGGAGGTGGATAGAAGGGTGGCTACAGAAAGTCATTGCAGGCCCGGCATCGTGGGCACAGGCCTTTACTCTTAGGCAGAGGCAGGCAGATCTCTGAGTTCGAGACCATCCTGGTCTGCAGAGTGAGATCCAGGACAGCCAGGGCTACAGCCAGAGAAACCCTGTCTTAAAAAAACAACAAGAACAAAAGGATACTTTGCATTAAAGAAATAATGTTGTAAAAAATTGTTAGAGCCTAAAAGGTATAAGCTGACTAAGGTAGAAAACACTGCTTTGCTGTCATATTAAACAAATCATGGGTTGTCAGACAGTTTGAAGTTTAACCTCTTTATAGTCCTATAGCCATGACATACACGTATTTGCTGCTCTGCATACATTTCTTTCTGTTTTTATTTTGTTTTTCAAGACAGGGTTTCACTGTGTAGCCCTAGCTGTACTGTAGCTATCTCTGTAGACCAGGCTGGCCTCAAATTCACAGAGATCTGTCTGCCTCTGCCTCCCGAGTGCTGGGATTAAAGGCGTGCGCCACCACCACCCGGTTTATGTATACATTTCTTTTTTTTTTTTTTTTTTTTTTGGACTTTTCGAGACAGGGTTTCTCTGTAGCTTTTGGTTCCTGTCCTGGAACTAGCTCTTGTAGACCAGGCTGGCCTCGAACTCACAGAGATCCGCCTGCCTCTGCCTCCCGAGTGCTGGGATGTATCCATTTCTTATAGACTAATTCTTAGTTTTAAAATTAGCAGCTCAGATGGTATACTAACTACATTTTGTCTGATACATTTTGCAGATTGTTTGAAGATGAGTGTCTGTTATTTAAGTCCTGTCTGTGATCTGCTAACTGAAACACATTTTCTTATTAGATTAGAAAGTATAGTATTCAAGAAACAAAATACTTTCCACACAGTGGCTGAAGATGGCTGCCAGCTAGTTAAGAACTTGCGAGGCGCAAGTAAAGGTTTAAAAAGCCTGTAGTTTTCCCATGTTTTCTGAGTCTCTGCCAGGAGCAGGCTCTGGACCAGGATGAAGGAAGCTCACTTCTCTCCCTAAGGGCTCTGCATCCTGCTGGGGATTTAGGCTCTGAGGAAAAGCACCGAGTGTGAGCCCTACACTGCTTGCAGAGGGGAAGGGAAGTAGTCTAGAAAAGTATCGGAGGAATGAGCCCCAAGAAGAGGCTAGGAGATCAAGGTAGAGTGGGAAGAATAGCAGGTAGAGGACTTGCCCGTTGGGCCATATCAATCATCTGAAGCATGGGTACCTGAGATCTCAAGTTTGGGGCCTGTGTTCAGCAAATAGATAAGATAGCTCTGTGGTGGGAGTCAGGGATGTAGATCTGCCTTTTCTTCTTATCTGTTTAATAGGAATAAAGCATTACCCATGTTTTTGGGGATGTAGCGGACATTTGCTCAAGACCTCCAGTGAGGTGATGTCATTCACTTCCTTTGTAGCCCCCACACCCAGCTCCTCAGGCTTTTGCAAATATGTATGATGTGGCTGCCAACATTTCCCCCTAGTGGTTATCCCCGAGCTCTGCGCAGGAAGGCTCGCTGGTCTTATGCTGAGATCCAGATGTTTGTCAGTGACTTTGCTAAGGCAAGAAGCTTATACTTTATTCCTGTTGCATGGAAGTTGGGTTGGGACAACCAGTTAACAGACAGATGAGCAAATAAATGATTCCGAAGGCTCTCCATGAGCTAAAAAATCCAACAGGAAATGTGGAGCGGTTTCTGCCTTGGGCTTGGGAAAAGCAGTTGCAGCACTTGGTTGGCTTTTCCGGGCTTCAAGAGAAGACTCAGCAGTTCACTGGATGGACAGGCGGGGAACGTAGGGTGTCAACCTAGGCCAATGTCACCTAGGTCTTTACTCTGCTGAAAATAGCCCGTATGAGGGCTGAGTCTCTTTTCCCTGGGTCTCAGTTTCTTTCTCTTTAATGCGAACTCCAATGAAGATATATCAATGCTTCCTCACTGGGTGCCCTGGAAGAGCATCCTGGCGGTATCTTTTTAAGCATGTTATTGTGAACGTCACCGCCTCCGCCCCTCCACCTGCCGCCCTTGTGCTTGCCTGGAATTTGGCCCTAAGCAGAGGTTCAGATTAGAAGTGTGGAATTGGAAAGTAATGAGGCACTGGTTCACTTGGCTCAGAGCTTATCAGAACTGTTCCCCTGGAAGGTATTTCTAGCGATGTTATCGATGCTTGTTGATGCCGACCAGACGGAAGAGGCAAGACTAATTATGACTTTCCTCCCCCCTCCCCATTGTATCTTAATAGCTCGTTTTGGAGACTTTAATCCTTCCATACACCATCCAGGCTATCTTGCCGACAGCCAGTTCATACCAGATCAAAATGATGACTTTTTAAGCAAGGTGGAGTCGCTCCATGAGCAGCACAGGTGCGGGGATGGGGTGAGGGGGATGCTGGAACTCAGACCGGGTCTTTACAGATACTGTATCACTTTGTGTGTTTGATGTCCCCTTGGCTTCCTGTGGTTTTCTTTCTTTCTTCCTTTCGGCCTTTAAACTGGGATGGTGGCAAATATATATTTAGCATCTTTTGAGGTTTTGTGAAGCATAAAAATGCAATAGGAATTGAGGGTGATAGCCGGCACATTCCTCCTTCAAGAGGTCATGGGTATTGGCTAATTCCTCAAGGAAATCCCCATTTTCAGTCTGATTGATTGGCCTCCAAGCTGATTGAACCACACATACCTTTTAGCCATTTACCTCATTTAAGAAAACAGGCCATTCCCTCAGGTGTTGTTGAGTGGACAGACAGGAGAGCTAACAGGGTGGGTGGTCCTCGACTCTGATACTTCCCACTTCCAGTCCCCTCTTTCCACGCCTCATGTGACTCAAAGCTCCCGTGGCAGCTGCTCTATCCCCATTAAATGAGGACCACACCGACCCAGGCCAGCCCTCCAGAGACACCGCATTTCTTGGGAAAGCCATAAAAAAAAAGGGCAAGCTACCAGCGTACCTTCTTAGAGGGCGCTGCCAGTCCTCTCTCCCGGAATTGCTCCTGGGACAGAAGTCAGCGTCCGAAAATAGCACAGGGTCACTGGTCTTTGAAGCGTGAGGCCACTGTTGAGAGAATAGACAGGCAAAAAGATGAAAGAGTACCTATTAATTGAACAACTTGGCGCGATGTAGGCAGGCATTTTGAAAGGCAACGGGTAGTTGTCACTGTCTGAAGACCTCTTTGAGAGCCCATTAAGTGGGGCGTGTTTCTTGGTAAAATCCAGAGGTGGTCAGGGTCCATGGACAAGAAGAAAAACCTGCTTCAGTAGAATTAAGTTAGAGTGCTTTGGGGTACTAGCCCAAGGCATTTAGGAACCTTTAATAACAATTACGGGGACTGTTGCGTTTTCCAGAAACTTTTAGTTTTTAAAAGCTCAAGGTAACGTTCCCCACCTACTGAGTGAGTTTTGCAGTTTCTTTTTTTCTCTTACAGTGGACTAAAGCAGTCCGAAGCAGAATCATGCTACATCAACATAGCTCGGACCCTTGACTTCTACGGCGTGGAGCTTCACGGAGGCAGAGTATGTATCCTTTAGCTCAGAAACTATTGTATTTCTAATTATGCAAGTTCACAGACTTCCTTGGGGGGAGTTGTTTCTCTCCCATTGTAACAAGTAAGACCTTTGAAAAGCTGGGGGGGGGGGGCGGGGCTGGAGAGTTTGCTTAGTGTGAAAAGCCCTCCTGTGTGAAAAGCTCTCCTTCTTGCAGAGGACCTGGATTTGGTCCTCAGAACCCACAGGGAGTCTCACAACCTCCTTGGGAACCACGCATGCGTGGGGTGCACAGGCATACATGCAGGCACAACGCTCATGCACACGAAATGATAAATAGCACAAATCTAAAAAAAAAAATTAAAGAGAGAGAGAGATACTTGGAAAGCTTATTGAGTACTTATTGGTTTATCCGAGTCTTCTGAGTCATTCGGTCATTTGCTTTTTCACACTTGAAGGATCAAGGCACAGGAGACTTAAAAGCTTTCAAAGACTATTCGATATTATGGCTAAATGGGTAAAACCCATTTTCCTGTGTTCTAAATTTTTTTTAGTAAGCATATAAAGTGATGAATTTAGGGGCTCAGGCTGTCTCTTGGTTGGTGGAGTGCTTCTCTGGCATCCAAGAGGCCTTGGGTTTGATTCCCGGTGCCGTATAAGCTGGGCGTGCTGGTATACGTCTGTGATTCCAGCACTCTGGGGGAAGACACAAGAGGATCCAAAGTTCAAGGTTATCCCCAGCTACCTGGTGAGATTGAGGCCAACCTGGGCCCCCATCTCAAAACGGGGGTGGGGGCGTTAGTGACATTTCCATGCTTGCTTATTGTTGTATTTTGCTCATACTAAACCCATCATTGCCCTTTCTTGTCTCTCCTCCCTCTTCACCTCCCCTTTCCCCCACAAAAGGCCCCCTTTCTACTTTTGTGTGATTTTATAAATCCATTTTAAGTGTCAATTTAATGAACTTTAGAGTATCTGCTACATCTTAAGTGTTACTCAGATTAATTAGAGCTGGTTACTCAAATACAGTTATGTGTGTACACCTGTGTATGATGTATGTAGTGTATGCGTATGTGTATGTATGTATGTATGTAGGTGTAGCTAGATGCGAGGTGCAGGCATGCTTGTGGAGGCCAGAGGTGGATGTCCAGGGTCTTCTTAGTCACGCCCCACCTTCATCTTTTGAAGCAGCGCCGATCACTGAATCTGATACTCACTGGCTGGTTGCTCCGTGGGCTCCAGGGATCCACACCTTTCCCTTCTTCTCAGTGCTGGGGTTACAGTCATGCCCAACCATGCCCGGGTGCTGGGGATTGGAACTCGGGCAGTTTGCTGACTGAGCCGTCTCCCCAGCCCTATTCAACTTAATAATTTTTTAGAAGAAATTATGGGGGCATGATGGCGAGATGGGTAAATGTTTTACACTGGGATTGGTTTAATAGAATCGACCATAGATGTTGTCCACTGAGCACATTTCTGTGTCCGGGTAGACGATTTCTTCCAATAATTACATCACCTTGGGGATTGTCACTTTTCCGCTCTAGAAGTTAGAGACTGAGTCTGTTTCTACAGAGAGGTCGCTCAGCACTGTTGTCGTGGTCAGGACATGGCCTCAGCACTGGATTCTTAGTAGTTTTTCTATTGCTCTGAAGAGACACCATGACCAAGGCAACCTAGGAAAGAAAGCATTTATTAGAGCTCATGGTTCCAGAGGGTTTGAGTCTGTGGTAGGGAGCATGGCAGCAGGCAGGCAGGGTGTGAGCGCTGTCTGGGAGTGGCACGGGTCTTTTGAAACATTAAACCCTGCCTCCAGTGACACGCCTCCTCCAACAAGGCCCTGCCTCCTGATCCTTCTGAAACAGGTCTACCAACTGGGCACCAGGCACTTAAATATATAGACCTGGGTCGGGCATGGTAGAGCATTCCTTTAATCCCAGCACGAGGTGTACAGAGGCAGGAGGATCTCTGTCAGTTCAAAGCTAGCCTGGTCTAAATAGTTCCAGATTCAAACCGCCACACTGGCTTATCATGCGAACATTAACATTTCTGCCTGCCATTGGCCCACATCATTCCCACCATGAAGCAGGTATTGGGCTGGGGAGATCACTCACTTCATCAAGTTCTTGTTACAAAGGCACAAAGAACCGAGTCTGAGCTCAGAACCCAAGTGAAAAGCTAGGCTAGGTGATCTGTACTTGACATCCCAGCACTGGAGAGGCAGAGATGGGGAGGCGGAGACAGGAGGACCCCTGGGCCTCCCTGGCTGGCTCTGCTACCTTCCTGATGAGCTCCAGGCCTGTCTCCAAGACCAAGATCCATAGCTCTTAAGGAATGACACCCAGGGTTGTCCTGGCCTCCATACGCACAAATACGCATGTGCACACACATGCGCCCCTGCACACACGCGCACAGTATTTATTAAGCACCAGCTGATGGCTAGTCTTTGTTCCAGGTGTTTTTATAGGCAACCCTTTGGGTGGCTCCTTGCTAATTGGTGTTCTTAGTTAGCAGCTCCACAGGTGAGAGAGCTAGAGCCTGTGAAAGTTGAATAAATGATTCTTTTGCCAGTTTAAAAAGCTTCGCATTGTGTTTGAAGCTTCCAGAAACACTTGACTTCTTTGCTTTACTTCTGTCCCAAGAGTTTTCCATTAGACGGGGTCTAACATGGTTCATAAATGGTGGGGAATATATTGGCTCTTATACAGTGACATCTTTGGGATGTCACTGGTAAGTTATATGCTCTTTTGCAAGTATTTTTTTCTTTGATAGAATGTTTTGGAAAACCTTCAATGGCAGAGTAGGAATTAATGGCTTTCTACCGCCAGGTTTAGTCTTCACCTTCCTCATCCTCACCTCTCAGGGAGCGTCAGGCTTGCCGCAGCCTTGTTCTTCCTCACGCCATTCTGGCTTTGCTTCCAGGTGTGGTTTTAGCCTGGTGCCTAGCGCGAGTACTCAGGACTTGCTCTGATTCGGCACCATTTCCTTGTCCAGTTTCTGTACCCACCTTTGTTCCTTTGTTGCTCATAAGTGATGGCCCCACTGTTGCACCTGCCGTGTGCCGGTTCTCCATCGAAAGCGTCATATGCACAGCCCTGTTCTCAGTTCCTTGGTTATTTTCTCTGCTCTCAGCCTGATAGAAACTTTAAGGTGCAAAAAGGAAAATGCAGGCTCTCCTGAGCCCCCAGCAACATAGGCAACTAGTGGCAGGCCAAAGGTTCACACTCACTTGTGACTGGCTCTACCCTAGGTTTCTAGTTAAGCCATCTGATTGGCAACAGAGACACGTGTGACTCGAGGAAGGAACCCTTGTCCCTTTGAATGTTACTTATTCGTACTCAAGTGGATTTAAAACAGCTTTAATTCTCTGTGTTTTCCTTCTGCTTCTGTATGATATATGGCTGTGCCAAACACACAAGCCCTTAGCCAGCGTGGTTACGTTGGAGTCATAAGCAACATTTCTTTCTTAATTGGATTTAGAGTCATGTCTATTTAATAATGGCTAAAGCCTCTTCAGTAATTGAAGTTGAGATTTGTATGGCGTTGTATGGAGAATAAGCCTGTTTGAGTCTCATGTGGCTCCCAAATGCTGATGGTTGAAAATGAAAGAGTGTTTTTATATTTGGTTCTGTGGAGTGAATATTCTTGCCTGGTAACTTCCTAAACGAGGTATCATGATATGCTCTGTGCGTGTGTGTGTGTGTGTGTGTGTGCATGTGCGTGAATGTGTATGCATGTATGTGAGTTCACTTTAGAAGAACTGGGCGCCAAGTGCTTGACTCTTAAGTGGCTGCTAAGTGGGCTTTTTCCCGTGTTCAGTGGCCTTTCCCCCTCTTGAGTGGATGCATGCTACTATTTATAAAAGCGTGGGTGCTTTAAAGTTAGCGGAGGATGAGCATGGCTGTACCACACTGTGAACCTGGACTCTTCCTTCCCTCCCCCCACCCCAGGATCTGCACAATTTAGATCTAATGATCGGAATTGCTTCTGCGGGCATTGCAGTGTACCGAAAATACATTTGTACGAGTTTCTACCCTTGGTGAGTGCAAACGCTTGGAATTGTCTGAGTCATGCTTTAAAAATATGCCGAGTAAAAGCAATGCTGGATCTAATCTCAAAACTTTTGATCTCTGAAGAAATCTAGTTCCCCCTCCCCACCCCACCCAAGTTGTAAACTCTGAACTCAAACTGAAATCAAACCAAACTTGATCGGGATTTGGCACTTGGGAAAGTAAACTTTGGTTTTCATTAACTTCCCACTGCCAGTCGTCCTGTGGTAGGGGTAGTTGGTGGATAAATGGCACAGGCAGGTCTTGGAGTTGAGCAATCTTTCCACCCCCTTGTTTGTGTGTGGAATCAGACCTAGATTCTGACAGTCATGAGCCTGCAGGTAATACAAGCCTTATATGTATGTGGAGTTTTCCCCCTCTGCTTACACAGCTGTGGTAAAGTTTTATCTATGAATTAAGTCCACTAAAAGATTTCAAACAATGCATAATAAAATCAAGCAGTTATCACAGTATACTGTAATGAGAATTATGGCCTCTCTCTCTTGAAAGAGTCAAGGCAGTAGTACTTTCAAATTGTGGTGAACTCCAGGCAATTGAAACCATAGAAAACCAGAGCAGAGGTGGAGAAAGGGAGAAAGGAGTTGATTTTCAACATGAGTTTGAGTTGACTGTACCAGGCAAGGGAGCTTCTTCAGAGAAATATTATACCTTCCAAATAATGCATTTTTATAAACGACAGCACAAACGTGTGTAGGGCAGGGGTGGGGCGGGAGGAGGAGAGCGGGTGCGGCAGGCCGTGGGAGATAGGAGAGTATAGCGTGCACGGTAAAGTGGCCACACAGAAACTCAGAGGAAAGGAGATTCGGGTGGCAGAGTTGTGGCCTGCCAGATACGTTTAGGTTTATACCTGTTCCTCTGTTTGACCGCCTAGAATTTCACAAACAGAGTCAAAGGTGTTCATCACAGCATTATTTATGACAGTGGGGGAACCTATAAATAAAATTATAGGGGTATTAACTGTGATCGCAGCTGTCATATTATTGAATGTTGTCGTATCCAAGTCTTGTTACTATGTGTTTTATTTATCCCACTTAAACATTGAGTAAGCCATTCTTAGTCCTGGTTTCTTAGCAGAGAAAGCTGTAGGACGGACAAGGAAGTTTGTAAGGACTGTCAGACTCGCGCTGCTAATAGTGGGACAGTTGAAATTCCCGTCCAGTTTGTCACCCAAGACCTGTCTTATTCTACCACTAAACGTTGTATTTGTGGGGAAGTGCAGGCTACACACTTAAAGACACTGGTTTTATGATTTCTTTTAAATGCATTTAATTTTCAACAAAACTACGCCATTATCTTGTTTGGTTTTGCTGTGGAGCCAGTGGGACAGGCGATAAGATCTCTCGAGCCCCTCACTGTCAACAGGCTGGGATAGCTGGGGTGTAGCCTGCTGAGTTCTCTGGCCTTCTCAGAGCAAAGGACCAGGCAGGGAAGCAAGGTCCTGATTCTCTCTTTAAGTGTCTCTAGTCCCCCAGTGCCATAAGCCAGAAGCTACCTGAGTCTCGCCTCATCTGTGGCTGGATCTACGAAAGTTCCTTATGCTGGGTCTGGACATCACATTTAAAGGTAGATTTGGATCCCATAAGGAAGCGGAGAGCTTCCGAAAGCAAGCCGGTAAACAGAAGCCTTTGGGTCAGGACGGACAGGGACTCTTGGCACCCCTCCCGTCCTTCAGATGCTCTCTCGGAAATTCTTGGTGACTCTTCGACTTCAAACCAGCTCCTGTCAAAGCCTGTCTCTGTGGCCAGTGCTGTTTCAGTTAGTTAACCTGTGACAAAATAATGGATAGAAGCAGCAAGGGGAACAGAGTCGGCTCACAGTATGGAAGAGCTCAGAGCCTCTAAGAGTGACTCCAAAGAGGGTAGGCTTTGACTGCAGGGATCCATTCTAGGAAGAAGGTACAGAGTGAGCATATCGCCGGAAACAAGGGAGAACAGAGCAGTCAGTGTGACGTAGATGGTGGATTAGGCTAGAGCATGGTGTGCCATAGCCAGCTGCTGGAGAGTGACCTGGACAGCAAGAGCCTCACAGGACACTGGAGTGGAGACTTCATCCTCGGTGTTCTAATGAGAACTACATTCTCACGCTGCAGCGATCAAAGGGAGATGGTTGTGTGCACCATTTGATACCTGTCTCCTTCGCTAGATTAAATGTTAAGACTGCAGTACCCACTGTCTTGTTCTTTCTGTCCCTGGGACCTGGCACAGGACCTAGCCCATCCAGACACTCGGTACATTGCATCTTTCCTTGTGACCGAGGGCAGTAGGGAGCCCACTGTAGGGCCTTCAGCCTGGAAATCACATCTGCATTCTTCAGATTCGCTCCAGTGGAGAAAGGCCAGTGAGGGAGTTGTAAGCGTTGAAGCAGAACAGTCTGACCCAGGAGACCTAGCAGGGAACCCCCATCTGAAGCCACTGGCACACAAGCAGTCTGTGCCCAGCAAGACAAGGCTAGGGACTCCTCCAAAATGAATGAGTTTGTTCTCCAGACCCCTGTGAAATAGCAATTCCTGTGTGTGCCCTTCAACACAAACTGTATGGAGGAGACCTGCCCATCTCAGGGTGTAACGTGCACCATGATGGATGCCTCAGAAGAACTGGCTCTGAGAGCCTTCTGGTCCTTACATGACTAGCCTGCAGTCACTCTGAAAATTCACTTATTCAATAGGAGTATCCACCAGCAGGTTACTTAAACTCGGTGTTTGTTTTTAATATATAATGCAAGTGTGCTCTCTGTGTGTGTGTTCCTGATCCACTGGGGGAAATGTCACATGAATAAACTCGCTTTACTTACTCAAGCTCTCTGTTCTAGAATGTTCTTATCAAGGTCTTGATATGATCCTAGAGAATAATAGAGTTCCTCACTTCCCCAAAACACTGTGTGGATTTATAGTGACTTGTAGTGAGTACAATCTATTTAAGAGTACTAGTTAATTTCTTTAATGTACTGAGAATACTAGTGCATATTTGTAATTCCAACACTAAGGGGTCAGAGAGGGTAATCTCTGAGGTCGTGTAAGCCAGCCTAGTCTCATGTAGTTGGTGAGCTCCAGGTCAAATGAGAGATCCTCTCTCAAAGAATAAGGTAGACAGTACTTGAAGAAGAACATCCTAGGTAGACTGTTGTCCTACACACACACACACACACACACACACACACACACACCCTGATCTCATTCACCAGTTTTAATGAAAAGTACCAACACTGAGAGCCTGTGGTATATTAAGAATCATCTAAGGACATGACATACTTACTATGTCTAAATTATCATAGGACCACGGTGAGAAAGGCTGTGATGGTTACCATTCAGCAGATACCCTAGGGTCCAAAATCATAGGCTCTTGAGTCTGATCCCTAAGCTCAGAGCCTGGCTCCAGGCAGTGACATCTCTGCACCTCAGCTTCCTCTTCTGGATAAATACCGTTCGTGGCTGTTGCAAGACCCGATAGAGGCAGTGTTTATAAAGCCCGTGGCGGTGCCCTGCGATGTGAAAATACTTGCTGCTTGGTAGCTTTCATTCTGTATCATGCACATGGTGACGAAATTCTTTCACACGTGGCTGTTAAGTAACAGAGCTGGGGTACAACCCAGGTCTGTCCTCCCTCTGCTCCACACTGCCCCACGTAGGCACCAGCTCCTGCAGGGCTGCAGTGCCACAAAGAGACTTACAGCAAAGAGTGCGCATGGCCCACGCTCTTGGTTATTTAAAAGCTGCCTCGCAATCCAGAGGCCCCATGGAGATCCAGCTCGGTCCGCTCCTTGAGTTCAGCTGAGGCACACTCCCAGGGATCATGAAATAGAGGACCCAAGCAGAAGAGGGGTCAGCTATAGCCCAGCTGAGCCCCAATGTCTTTGTTTGATTTGCGTTTTGTTTTACTTTTTGTGTTATGTGTGCTTTTATTTTGCTTGGCCTTTTACAGGGTGAACATACTCAAAATTTCTTTCAAAAGAAAAAAGTTCTTCATACACCAGCGGCAAAAACAGGTGAGTTCTGCCCACGCTTGGCTGTGTGCTTGCTGTGTTTGCTGCCTCGTCAAGGCTTCCTCCAGTCCCCCAGGGATGGCTTTCTGTGTCTTAGGAAGGAAAGGCAGTGGCCATAGGTCATCAGACCCTGTGGTCCTCCCCGTGAGTCAGTCGGCCTCTGGTTGGAGAACGAACTGGCTTTAGAGTCAGATACTCTAGGTTTAGATCCTGGCTCTTCCCCTGGCCCCGCCTCTAGCCCATATTACCTTACTTGTAGATGTTCACGTAGTGTCCACTTCTCAGGGAGCCGTTTGGATTAGGCAAAAGAGCTCAGCCTAAGCGCCTAGCAGAGCCCAGGGATGCATAGCAGGAAGCATCCATACAGCCAGTTCCTTTCTTAAGTGTTCCATGGATGATAGCTTGTGCCTGGGTCTCACAAGAGCATTCGGCAGGATCCTAGACAACCCTGTTTGTTTGCTTAGCCACAGCAGAAGTACACTCAGTAAGAAAGCCAGAGCTCCCACAGCCTCGGAGTGAAGGAGCTGGAATTTGAACTGAGGCGCCTGCCCTTTCCACACCACACCCTGTCTTGTTATGCTGCATAGTTGTCGCTGGCTGTCACTGCGTCCATTTCCCAACGTTTCAGAGATGATATGCCCTTAGACTGACCCCACGCAGTGAATGGGGCCTTAGAAACGGGATCCCTAGAGCTCAAAGCACCAAATACCTCAGTTGCCTGACTCCCCTGACTCCCACCCCTAGAGCAAGGAGGGTCAATGAAGCACCAAAATGCATGTGGAATCAGAAAACCCAAATGCAGGTAGACTGAAGGCAAAGCCAGGGATGGGATTACTTATTATCTGTGAGCACTGGAATAGAGAATCCCCAGGCTTATAATGTCTCTACTACCTGCTTGGTGGAAGAGTATTTCTTCAGGAAAGAGATGCTCGGGGCGGAGTTCCCAAGTTTATCAGATGGTAGTGCCAAGTAAGCTTCCTCTTGAACTAGAAGCAGGTTTGGAACAAGGGTGTCTGTGAAGGACCGCACATGGTGAGGAGGCATGGATTCGGGTCATTTTTATTATCACACCTGTAGAGACAATCCTGCTCCAAAATACTCATGGGACACTGGGGTGTCGGGGGTGCCTGAAGTCTGCTCCCTCCCTTTGTTACATCTTCAGCCGTGCGGGTTTGCAAGCTTGGTACGTTTTAGTCCTCCTGTACCTTTGCAGTGAAATCTCCGCTGCTCTTCCTTACAGGCTGAATCCAGGGAACATATCGTGGCCTTCAACATGCTAAATTACCGATCTTGCAAAAACTTGTGGAAATCCTGTGTGGAGCACCATTCGTTCTTTCAGGCAAAGAAGTTACTACCTCAGGAAAAGAGTGTTCTGTCTCAGTACTGGACTCTAGGCTCCAGGAACCCCAAAAAGTGAGTATATTTGAGGAGAACCATCCATGCTACCCGAGGGGGCGTGGACATCCTTGGGCAGAGGGGCAGCTCTGAGGCTGGACCTCAGACTTTAGATTCATGAGTGACAGCTGAGCATCTCCAGGGGAAGCTGTGCCCTTTTATGCTCAGATGCATCTCCTATTCCCTGCGTTAGTTTTTGCCCCCTCCACCCTGCTGTCATCTGAGTTCTCAGACAGCTAGAATTGCAGTTGCCTTCACCCCTTCCCAATTAAAGAACACTGAGTGTCATCCTGGTGCCAGCATATTGGGCTTTTCACAGCTGGAGGCCTCTAAGCCAACCCCTCCCACACAACATTAGTTCATAGGCACCCCATAAAAATGAATAGAGGTTTCCAGAGTGTGGTGACTGTGGACTATATTGCCAATAATAGCTACAAAATAATAATTGTCATTGACAATTGCCTAGTGTTTATAAAAGGAACATACTTAATTACATTAATTCTTGCGCTGAACCTGAGTTAAATGCTACCTACAAGAGTGATATTCAAAATATTTAATGATAAGAACAGTAAAATTAATTTACATATATATATCATGTACATTATAATTTTTTAAATAATATATATTGAGTCTTTACATAAAGTGACTGGGGCTTATGTTTGTTTTGTTTATTCTAAGACAGCTTTGTATAGGAGACGACAGAAATTGTTTGTCATGCTGTTAGAATTTTCTAAGTCATTTACTGGTTTTTCAGAATTGTGATTGATTGTCGTGAACGTGGCTTTTTCTAAATAAGGCTCAAGTATGAGCTATTATTTGATGTGAAATTGGAGAAGAATGTTCTAGTGGCTTTCCTATCACATATTAGGTAACATAATGATTTAGCCAGTGGTAAATGGCCTCTGGTAGGGGTGGTATTATTTCTTATGAACCAAGAACAAACATATTTTTATAGTGTTTAGTCCTTATAGTTCTGTTTAGTATTTATATGCATTCAATATTCTGCTAGTGAGTAGACCATAAGAATAATGTTGTTGAGGAACCTATAGAGCTGCCTCATACTCAGGATGCTACATGGAAACCATGGAAACCGAATCTTTTTCCTGCATGGTGGTCCTCTAGGCAGCCAGAGGCATTGGATGAGAGAACCCAAGTGCAGTGAGCTTAGCCACTAGCAATAGCCCCACGGTCTACAAGGGCTCACCTGCTACTGTTTCCCCGTGCCAGCATTGACAGCCCAGATAGCTGCAGCTGGTGGGGCTGTGCCTTTTTGTTAGGCACTCCCTGGGTCATGCCATCCTGGGGACTTCCCTGGTGGAAGTAAATCTGAACATTCCAGGCCTGGCATCCCTCACCGTGAGCCTCAGGAACCTAGGCTGTGCAGCCGAAGCAGCAATAGCAGATTAGCGTCCCCATTGTCTGTGAGAGTCTGGGAGTCAAACTCAGGTGCTGCAGCAGGTCAGACTGACAGACAGATTTGCAGTCAAGAAGTTCATGTTGAAGAAACAAAAAATTGGTTTTTGACCACTTAAGCATCAAACTATAACTGGGCTAAGGCATAAGTGTACTGGTTAACTCTCCTGGCACAGCTTCCTTGCTGCAGAGTGACCGTGTAAGTAGTGATCTCACTACAGTCCTGTTGCAGAATTGCAATGAGATGACTTGGAGTTTGTGGGGGGCTCCTTGTTGTCAGTGTGTTGCTTGTGTTACCCCCACCAAGATGTTATAATATTACTGCTTATGTGGTCATTAAAAGGAAACAGTTTTCTTCCAAATAAGAAATGACTAGACCTCAGGCGACGGCAGCACACGCCTTTAATCCCAGCACTCAGGAGGCAGAGGCAGGTGGATCTCTGAGTTTGAGGCCAGTGTGGTCTACAGAGTGAGTTCTAGGACAGCCGGGGATACACAGAGAAACCCTGTCTTGAAAAACCAAGCAAGCAAACAAAAGCCAGATTGGCTAGACCCGATTTTCCAGGCAGGTTGGAGGTGGCATAGAAGGGACTGAAGGGTTCTTTCCAACACTGAGTGAGTTCAGATCCTCCATGTCTCACTTGAGTTTTGGTTTGCTGCCTCCGTTTCATTATCTGCAGACTTCTTTCCCTCTTCAGCCTGCATGGGGTGCTGGGTTCTGGTCGTCTTCTGTGACATGGAAACCCATGTTTTGGTGCTGACAGCAGCCGTAGTCTGTTTTCTCAAGATTTGTGAGTTAGGAATTCAGGAAGGGCTTACCAGTGACTCTTCTGCTCCATTAGTCCTGCCCTAATGGGCAAGGATTTTGTGAGAACCGGCTACTTGCAGCTGGTTTGAATCCTCTACAGAGGGTCACTGGAAGCATGGAAGACAGTTTGGGGTACAAGTCATCAGTTTCTTACTGGTACCTTCTTTCAGTATACTGTTAATTTTGACTTATTTTTTTTTTTTACATTTACTTATTTATGTTTCGGGGTGGAGTTGGGGGAAACACATGCATGTCACAGTACACATATGGAGGTCCAAGGACAGCTTCTAGGAGCCAGTTCTTCTACCCTGTGGGTCTCAGCGGTGGCATTTGAGTCATCAGGCTTGGTGGCAAGCACTGTGACCCGCGGAACCGTCTGGCCAGCCCTCGTCACTTCCTTTCATTTCACAGACGAGGAAACCACGGTCCCACCTGGCTCTAGAGTACATCTGTATAGCTGTGTGTTGGAACCTCTGACAGGTTCCGTGAAAGGGGAGTTTGATCGTTATTTTCTGGAGACCGTGGAATGGTTTCAAGTTTCTATTAATAACTCGTGACACCTGCTTCAGGGATCTGCCATGTTAAACCCTGGAGTCACGCTGCCTGCTTCCCTTGTTTTTATCTTACATCCTTAATCAGTGGTCACGTGACTTCTGATAGCCCCGACCTCAGGGAAAAAGGTCTCCTAGTGATGCTGCAGTTAGCACTTCAATGAGCATGACAGTGGCATTCATTATTATAAATTGGTACCTGGATTTTGCTGTATTTCTTTGTTCTTTTGCTTTCGTCAGTCCGTTGGTTTAGGCCATAAGGAAATATACGGAATATTTAAGACATTAGAGCATGGGGTAAAATTGGAAATGCCAGAACCAGACTTCAAATGATTTCCTAAGGCAATCTATTCCTCAGGAATTCAGTTTTCAAACTATAAATAAAATTCAGAAATATCCTTCAGATAACATATTCAGAGAATATGACCTGAAACCGTTCTAAGTACGTCCTCGGCTTCTCTGTCAAAGATTTCCCAGTGATTGATGGTCCCTGCATCTGCCGGCCAGGGGGCCCAGGAGCATCTGGAGGAATGATGATGCTTTTGTTCACGCCAGTGGGAGGCAGGTGAGGTAGATCCATTGAAGTTATTGGAGCTGCGCTGGTCTGTGCTATTCTGGCACTCCTTCTAACCTGGTAGCTTTGGCTGTAGTCTAGAAGCAGCTTAACTATTTAAAGTAGTGGAGACCATTTTCACCAAAAGACCAGATGTAACCTAAAGAAAAGCCAGAACAAGAAAGGAAGTCTTTGGAAGTCTGGGGCCAGCGGGATGGTTCAATAGGTAAAGGCACTTACTGCCTGATAACCTGAGTTCGATCCCCGGACCCACATGGTGGAAAGGGAAAACTGCTCCTGCAAGTTGTTTGCTGACACCCACAAGTACACCACAACATGGTGTGCACACACCCACATAAAATAACCTTTAAAAATTTTTAAAAGGGCACTCTGGAAACCGACTGCTTCCACTCCTCGTAACCTAGCTGGTGTGACCGGGGCTGGTATCACTGGGTGCTAAGTCAGTGCCTTCAGAGAAGGTGCCTTGGCAGACTGTATTTAATGGATGTTGTTCTTGCTTTCTTGTTGGACATGTCTGTGTGCAAAGTAACACTGTGTCTGGTTTTTCAGGTCTCTAAATAACCAATACTGCAAAAAGGTGATCGGAGGGATGGTGTGGAATCCAACCATGAGGAGGTCCTTATCAGTGGAACGGCTAGAAACCAAGAGCCTGCCTTCTCGGTCCCCACCCATCACCCCCAACTGGTATGTTCTCGTTTATGCTGTGCGCCAGTTGCAGATACCCTCTCTCTTTAAAGATACAATGTCGGCTTTAAACCCTTCAACAGGGATTGCCTACAGTCAGACTTCTCATGTGCGTTCCCATGTTGCAGAAGGAGCCAGACAGACCCTTTCCATACTGAAAAATGCTAAAGTGGCCTTACAATAATAATAATAAATTCACATATTTCGGGAAATCATTGTGATATTCCAATACATGTGTAGTATTCAGGACAACTTTACTGTCATATCTATCAGACAAATAGCATTTTTTTTTAAACTTAAAAGTTTCTTAAAGATTTTTTAAAAATCTATTAAAATCCCTTCTAGTAGCTGGATGTGGTAATAAATACTTGTAAGCTTAACGTTCAGGAGCCTGAGGCAAGAGGATCAAGAGTTCAAGGCCAGCTTGGGCTACGTGGACCCAATCTCGGATAGATAGATAGATAGATAGATAGATAGATAGATAGATAGGTAGGTGGATAGGCAGGCTACATGGACCCAAACTCGGATAGATAGATAGATAGATAGATAGATAGATAGATAGATAGATAGATAGATAGACAGACAAGTAAATAAATGGGTCCAATTTTACATACATACATCCTTTCTGCTGGCTGTTCTGAAATACTCAATTGATTATTGAGCACCACAGTTACCCTGATGTGCTAGAATATCAGACACTAATCCCTCCTGTCTAACTACTACACTCCCGAAGTGCTTCTGTAAAAAAAAAATCATAAATCACTGGATGGTGGTGGCACACACCTTTAATCCCAGCACTCCAGAGGCAGAGGCAGGCAGATCTCTGAGTTCGAGGCCAGCCTGGTCTACAGAGTGAGTTCCAGGAAAAACAGGGCTACATGGAGAAACCCTGCCTTGAACAACGGTAATAAATATTAGTAATAATAATAAATTGGGGCGGAGCCTGAGGGCATAGCTTAGTGATGAAGTATACTTACATAGCATGTGCAAGCTCTGGTTTCATTCTACAACCTTGCAAAATAAATAAAAGGTAACATTTGGAACGTGAGGCCTGCTGTAATGTCCACCTTAGAATCATATAGCCTGTGGTAGCATCTTAAATGCTTTAAGCTCTAAGAAGTTCATGATAAAGAATTTAAAAGGATAAAAAATGAAAAGAGAAAAGAAACCCTCAGGGGTCTAAGTTTTCTACAAATGGAATAATGCATGAGTGTTTTGTTATTTCAGAAAAGGGTCATGTGGAATCTTGTATTAGTTATTTTAGTGGTCCACAAAGATATCAGCCATTTTTGAGAATGTCTCCTAAAAGGCCAAGCACCATCAACAGGAGAGTTGAAGCAAGGAATGACTGTACCCTGGCTCCATAGGATTAGCAGTGTGGCTTGCAAGACGGGTGGAACCTGAACGTTTCCTAGCTGGGATCTGTGCACTGAAGGGACATGAGGCATGCCAGGAAAGGACCCTCCACAGGGAGCCATGTGTCCTGGGCAGTGGTGATGACATGTACACTGTAAAGCACCAGCTTAATTTATGGGGAATTTGTCAAGGAGCCAGAGAGAGCCCCAGATGAGATCGAGGAGAAGAGCAAGGTTGGATCTCTCGCTGCTAATTAAAGATCCATCTCCCAGGAGTCACAAGAGCCATCTTGCTTCCACAATGGATGCACATTATTGATTGTGCAGGAGCAGGGGGATTGCAAGTCTCTGAAAATCCCAGAGAGAAATAGCTGACAAAGGAAAGCTGGAAACACATAGGAGATACGGGGCCTGGCACCCAGGCGCAGTCCCAAATGTTCCATGAACGCTGTCTCTTCTGGCTCACTCTCAGGAGTGAGTACAGCTGAGACCCAGAGGAGATGGGACTTATCAAAGGTCACCTGACTACGGCTGACAATGGAGAACAGGGTAGCGTTCTGATGCCATCACATTCCAGGCGTTGAATACAGAGAACATTAAAGAAAAACCAGGCGTCTCTGGTCTGCAGAGATGGCTGTGTGAAGTACTGGCTGTGCCAACAGGAGAACTGAGTTCAGGTGTTAGCACTCTCATCAAAAGGCAAGGCATAGACATAGATGCTTGTAACCTCTGGGAGGCAGAGATGGGAGAAACCCAGGGGCTGGCCAGCCAGCCTAGCTGGGCTGATGAGCGCCAAGTTCACTGAGAGACCCTGCCTCAAAAAATAAGGTAGAAAGTGACAGAAGAAGTCACTCGATAACAACCTCTGACCTATACATGCACATGCATGAGCACACACAACCACCCCCACAAACACACATATACCACTCATGCACACAAGTTCTAAAGTCAATTTTACGTCTTGGACCAAAGGAAATTCATTGAGGAATAACAAACATGTTGTAAGAGGTCGCTTGTTTGTTTCCCGGCTGCCTGACAGCTCAGACCCGAAATAATCACACAGAAACTATGTTATTTAAAACACTGCTTGGCCATTAGCTCTAGCTTCTTATTGGCTAACACTTATATCTTAATTTAACCCATTTCTAGTAATCTGTGTATCACCACGTGGCTGTGGCTGATTGGGTAAAATCCCAGCGTCTGTCTCCGTGGGGCTACATGGCTTCTCTCTGACTGCGCCCTTTCTTCCAGCATTCAGTTTAGTTTTCCCCACCTAGTTCTGTTCTGCCCTGCTATAGGTCCGCTCAAAGCAATTCTTTATTAACCAATGGTATTCATAGCATCACAAACACACTTTGCTTTCCAAACCTGTCAGTGTGCATTGTTGGATTGGTGAGAAAAGTTCAAGATGGCTTGAGCCTTCGTAGCTCATCCTTAATCAATACTCCCTGACCAGAAGGCTTATTTCTGCCTATCTCTACACTGAGACGGCCATATCACTTACACAAATGTGTCAGAGACCTGTGTTGCCCTGGATGGATTCTACTGGAGTAAGAATGACCTCACTGGCTCTGACATTTGTTTTGGTTATTTTTGAGACAAGGTCTCATTAATTCCCCTGACTGCCCCTTAACACTCAATCCTCCCAAGTGCTGGAGCTCTGGGTGTGTACCACCACACCCAGCTCTGGGTCTGGCTTTCTAAGCACCCATCAGGGTGTCCACGGAAAGACCAGGTCACAGGGTCACACAGCTGCCCTTGGGTCAAGCCTCTGTGTGGGAACCGCTCTCAGGACTTGGGCTCTGTGCTTCTCCCCTTTGCAGGCGAAGTCCTCGGCTCCGGCACGAAATCCGAAAGCCTCGCCATTCTTCCGCGGACAACCTCGCCAATGAGATGACCTACATCACGGAAACCGAAGATGTTTTCTATACCTACAAGGGATCCCTGTCCCCCAAAGACAGTGATTCCGAAGTATCCCAGAACCACAGCCCACACCGAGAGTAAGGAACACGTATTTGCTGTCTTCGGGTCTGCTTTGGGCCGGTGAGGAGTTTGCGCAGGCCTGAGTGCCCCTTGAAAAGAGGCAGGCACTGGTGCGTGCAGCCGGAATGTAAATCCAAACACCTGTCTGAACGGTCATGTGACACCATCTCCACTTTACATCCACCATCCCTTTCGAAAGTGACGTATTTTCCCTCATTGATCAAGGCCAGGAAAAAGTATGTCTGTTCTGAAAGGCAGGTCTGAGTCTTTTAGTTAGTTATTCAGTAACAGCTCCCTTTTTACCTTGATTGTCAGAGCTGCTCAACAGTTAGACCCAATCACATTTGCTCCCCTCCCCCACCCAGGTGTCTGGCACAGTCCCTGAATTCCAAACCTTTCGTATACAACTCTATCGTATCTTCGTATTTGGAACAAACTATCTTATTTTCTAAAGCCAATAAGACACAGACCACAAATGATATCTTTAAATTAAATTATGATAGACAAGGATAAGGTGTTAAGAAGCCAGTCTTAGCCATTGGGTATTCGAACCATTAAGCCCCAAATAATGGCCAAAACTAAGAAAGGTAATGTCTCCCCTATTGGAGAAGGATTAGGAAGAGAAGCTTTAGGCAGTCACAGGGGAACTGCAGATCTCCCCACTTCCATCTGGGGCGCAGGAGTGAGGGGGTGAGGGGAGGGCTTGTTTCTCTGTCACTGCCCACAGCCAACATGGTCTTCAGACCATCTGTGCTTTTACCGCCTCTGGTTGTGATTTCCTCGTGATCTGAACCTCTGGGTTCTTCTGTTGAAGCCATCACTGTCCATCACTGCTGTTTGCGGTTGGCTGCACTGCCGTGTAAGCTTCAGAAAACAGGTGGGAGCTTCGTTACATGAACCTGTGGCTTTGCAGGCTATGAGTGGCTCTGGAAATGCCAAACAGGAGTGAGGGAGGTGTCTGTTAGTACCAGTCTGAGTTCTCCTTGGCCTCCAGACTCTGTTGCTTTGACACAAGGCAGAGAGAAGGCATAGGGAACCCCATCCAAGGGCTTAGGGAAGCCCACATGTACTTGCCATGTTGAGAATCTAGAGTTTTGCTGGCCAGTATAGCAGCCGCCCACCATGGGCAGCTGCTCAGATTTACGCCAACTAAAGTAAGATGTGTGTTAGGCAATTAGAACATGCACATGTGTTTTCAGCATTGTCCAGACACATGTGTACGGCCCCTCCATCAGCAGTTATTGCCCGTGCCTATTGTCCCAGCTTGCCAGTGGTTGGCTCTGCCATTCACTGAAAGTAGAGTAACCCTCAGAAGTCAAGTTGAGGACACCTCACTTACCAGTGAAGTACTTGCCACCCCTCACCCAGCTGCACAGCTGTAGAGGACTTGGGGGACCTCTGAGAACCCTTGTGTTCCCGTGCCTCTGATGGCTGAGGTCAGGACCAGGTACGAGACAGTTGTCTCTTGTCCCGTGACACATGGACATCTTAAAAAGCTCCATTTCTCCCGAGTTCTTCATCATACTTGCTGATTGTGGAGAAGAGACCACAAAATGGAACTTAATAAGGCTCCATTTTCAGGTGCCTCTGGGACTGCTGGGTCAGTACCACGTCATCTGCCTTCGCTGTCACATTGTGGTGCTCTGTGGCTTTGGAGAGCTGTCAGGCAGGGTTGGGAAAGGCATGGCCCACACAGCCACAGGGGATGCTAGCTTATCTAGTCTTCAGTGGTCCGGTCTGCCAGCCATATAAACTCTGGAGAATCGAGTCCAGTTTGAAACCTGCTTCTTTGGGCTCTGTTGAATTTCCGGGATTGCTTGCCCCAGCCGTTCCTTCACACTTCTGCTGATTCTCTGAAATGTTTCCACGAGGTCTTCCTCGTAAGATGGCCTCTAGGGGCTCCTGTTCTTCTGCAGCCCAGGGTTAGGAGAAAGAGATGACAGTATGGCTAAGGTACTTTGACAGTGCAGTGAGTTTGCTTTGTGGCTGGGCTTCTCAAGTGGGATGGGTGGTTGGAAAACCAGAACCCCAACCCCCTCAGTGGCATCAAGGACCACTCTCTCCTTGGGGCTTCTGAAGCCTTAACACACGGGCAGGCATGGAGTGGGGAGGCTTTATTCTCCAGGCAAGAGATGCAGAAACTCTGCTGGTAAGAATGTATTTACAAAATGTTTAAGAAGCCTTTGACGTTTTCTGCAGCAGATTTGTGTTGAGTCTCAAAGAAGCAGTCCGTCAAAGAAATCAGAGGCAGGAGCTTACAGACAGCGAGGCCTCTTTTGAAGCAGAATTAAGTGTAATGTTCTGTGCTCATTCAAAAAAGAGAAGAAAGAGAGAGAAGCATGCTTAGCCCCATCGCCAGCACCCCCGCCCCGCCCCACCCCCAGCGGCACAGGGAAGGAACATCATCCCCTGGCAGATGAGTCACTTGCTGGTTTGTTCCATATTTATAGCAGCGCTGCAGAGTTTATGATTATAGTTTTGAAGCCTTGGCAGTGCGCTTTGTGCCCAGGCAGGCTGTGCGCTTTTGTTATTCCCGGCCCTGTTCTCTGCTCCTCCTTGCTTCCAGGAAACGTTCAGATTCAGGCAAAGGAGCAGATTTTCTTCATGGTAGAAACAAACCCCCAAATTCCCCCCTCCCCTCACACCCAGACACAAGGGAGGAGTTGCGCTAAGGAAAAGCCGACCCTTGGAGCCGGTACTGGGGAAAACAAGGTCTAGGCTTGTATCCCAAAGAATTTGTCAGTGATTCTTGGTCATAGTTGTTTTGGTGGGTCACCAATATGGTGCCCAGAGTGAGTCTCACTTCTTGTCCTAGTAGCTTATTGGCTGTTTGCTTCTTCCCTGAAGGCCCGCCCTCTCCCGTAAGACGTAAGATAACCCTCCTATTCATTTTAAAATGTGCATGATTTGGACGGGACCATATGGCAGTCTCCTTCCCCATCATGTGACCCCATATTCTGAGCCCCTGTGGTCTGCGAACCCTACCTGTGACAGGGTTCCCTGCAGTGTGACGGTCTCTTTCACTGTTAGATACTCAAAGTTGTTGGGACAAATGACCCTCTCTGCCCACGTGTTCTGCATCCACAGACTAAATCGGCTGCATGTCCAGTGTCATAGGTCTGTCCTGATGACCGAGCCAAACAAGCACAGAGTTTATTTTTTTCCTTGTCAGGACGGTGAGTGCTTGTGTAACATTTACCCCGAGTTGGGTATTGTAAGTAACCTAGAGGTGATCTAAAAACACAGGAGGGTGTGTATAAGTAAAATGGAAACATTAGAACATTGTGTATAAGAGACTTACACATCTGCAGATAGAGGGTGCCCTGGAGCTGCTCCTCAGGGCATACTGAAGGATGTTTGTGTTTTTTTCAAGCCGTGCTTGTCTTCTTGGGTTTTCTATTGTGAAGAGGCACCATGACTACAGCAACTCTTACAAAGAAACGATTTAATTGGGGTGGCTTGATTACAGTTCAGAGGTTCAATCCATTGTCATCATGGCAAGGGAGCATGGCAGTGTGCAGACAGACATGGTGCTGGAGCTAAGAGTCCTTACATCTTGACCCAAAGGCAACAGGAAGTGAACTGACTCACTGGACATGGCTTGAGCATATATGAGACCTCAAAGCGCACCTCCTCAGCGACATAGTTCTTCCAACAAGGCCACACCTCCTAATAGTGCCATTCCCTTGGTGAGGGATATTTTCTTTCAAGCCACCACAGTGATAAACATTTTGATTCTGGCCTAGCATGCAGGCTCCTGCCTCCTTCAGCTCCACAGGGAGCCCTCACCAGACTGGAGAGAAAGCCATGCCATTCTGACTCTTCTCTCTTGGCTTCCCATCCTCTGTCCTGCTTCTCATTGTTCCGTTTTAAGTCTCTGTCCATCCACCCTGAAGAGACAAGCAGAATGTCATTGTGCTCTGTGAGAATGAGCCTTCTCTGTGTAGTTAATCCATCCAAAAACTAGCCACTTGTTTATTAAATCACTACTATTGGTAGAACAGCCTCTCTAACCCTACTTAGAAGATAGGTTGGGGAAGTCTTATAATATGTCAGTGGTTGCAGAGACTACTGTTTACTGTTTTAAAACATCACTAAATGTTCTTAGGTTTGTTATATTTTATGCATATGTGTGTTTTGCCTTCATGTATGTATGTGTACCATGTGTGTGCCTGATGCTCATGGAATTCAGAAGAGAACACTGAATCCCCCGAAACTGAAGTCTTAGATGTTTGTGAACCACAAACCCAGGTCCTCTGTAAGAACAGCAAGTGTTCTTATCTGCTGAGCCATCTCTCTAGCTCCATGCTCCCTGTTTTAGGTAGATCAAAAGGTTTTTTGTTTGTTTGTTTGCTTGTTTGTTTTTTGAGACAGGATAGCCCTGGCTGTCCTGGAACTCACTGTGTCCGACCAGAGTTTTATATAAGAAGAGAAAAACTTTGAAGCCCTGAGATACAAAACTCATGAGCTACAGTTTTAAAGTATAAGTAAATAGGATATTCATTGGTACCATTTTACTGAACATAGTTTTTTTCACAGGCTGAGGAGATGGCAATCAGTAAATGCCAGGCCAGACACACCTCTGTTTCCACATTGGTCTGCCGCCGAATATTTTGTTCAAATAAATTAAGACTGTGAATCATTGTGTGTGAATAGGGTGCAGATTTTATATTTAGATAGGCTAATTTAGGCTGGGGGTTTAGCTTAGTTCTTTCTTACCGCAGGAGAGGCCCTGCCTGGGTCCTCGGCACTGATAAAAAAAGAAAACCAACCCCTGCCCCCCAAGTTTAACTTGCTAGGAAAACAGAAGCATCATTTAAAGAAAAATCTACAGGCAAGGACCTGGAATAGAAGTTTGGTGAGAGGTGGAAGCAGAGGCAGGAACGTGAAGAATGGGTAGAGAAGCCTCACTCGGGGGCTTTTGTAGGCCGCTGTGCTACTTACAACTTATACAGTATATAGTCACCCTCCCTTGCCTCCTGCCTATGGGTTGTTTTTTTAAATGATGCTCTGTTCCCTGGCAAGTTCAGATTAGTGGGTCCACGGCTGGAGTCCCAGCTACTTAGGAGCCTAAGCAGAAGAATCTGTTGAGTCAGAAGTTCAAAACCAGCCTAGGCAACACCTCCTATGTTATAAAGTAATGTGTGGAGCTAGAGTGGTTCTGTGCATCTCCCCACCGGTTTTCAAAGCAGCAGGGAGAGGAGTCAGGTGATTGTATTTAGCCTAGAGCATGGGTACCATGAGGACTTTCGCAGAAACACTCAGGTTCCAGGGTCCCGTGGTAATCTCAAGATGCCAGGCTCCCCCCCTCCAGCCAGTGATATTTACTCTGATAATATTAATCGATTTATTAAAACATGTTCTTCCCCACAATGAAGGAGTTTGTCTGAAAACAAGCCAACACAAAGCCGCCTGACCCGGCAATCATCCAGTTCGGTGTCTCCGTCTTCAAATGCCCCAGGCTCCTGTTCGCCAGACGGAGTTGACCCGCAGTTCTTAGAAGACTATCACAAGAAGATCAAAGGGGGCTCCATCGAGGATGCCAGCCAGTACTACTGCGACAAGGTGAGCACTTGGCCCGAGTGGCTTGGCGACCCTCCCTGGTGGGCAGGCAAATTGGTTGTGACAAAGGGAAAATATCTTGTCACAAACCACCGCAGAGGGAAGGGATGTAAACGACTCTCACGTGTCTTCCAGAATGATGAAGGTGATGGGTACCTGGTCCTGATCCGCATCACACCAGACGAAGAGGGAAGATTTGGATTTAATCTCAAGGTATGCTGTGAGTGTGCCTTTAGGTTATGTGCAGTGAAACAGCCTTCAGGTGGATTTTGAGTTTCAGTCAGAAATCTGCTACACACCCACACCGCATTAACAAAATAAAGCAAAGCCTCCCTTGGGGCTGTAGAGGTAGCTCAGTTGCTAAGGTTCTTGCTGTGCAAACAGGAGGACCTGATTGCAGTCCCCAGAAACTATCTTACAGAGAAGGGTGTGGGGGTGCCCTCCTGTGATCCCGCTGCTGAGGAGGCAGAAGCAGCAAGTTCTGAGCAAGTGAAAGACCCCATCTCAAGAAACAAGTTAGATGACTCTAGAGGAACAAGAGGCCAAGGATGACCTCTGGCCTTCACCCCTATGCACGTGTGTGCATGCATACTCAGACACACGTGTGCATGCATTCATTCTAAACTACTCAGGGCTAAGAATTGGCCTTTTATACGGTTGTACATTACCTTATGTTTAATGGTTGCAGTGTCCTCACATTTGTGACATTATACTAGATTTCTGTCATCTTATTGAGCTCTTAGAATGAATGGTTGAAGCAGAGAATGCGGGGACAAATGCCCGTAACTCAAACATGTCAGAGGCTAACACAGGAAGATTCTGAGTTTGAAGCTGGCCTGGACTACATACCAAGTCCATGACCAGCCAGAGCTATGGAGACCTTCTCTCAAAAGAAATGGAGAAGTAGATAAAGCATACGGACAGTTGTTAAACAGATCCTACAAACAAAACTAAGGCTCAGAAAGTAGAGTACCTGGTGGTTGATCAGACTCAGCCCACCAGCCACCCTGGAGGGATTATTTAGAGAACACTACACCCCAGAGCTTCAAGTTCCCAGGCCTCCTTGTCGAATGGGTCCCTCTAGGCAACATCTACAAACTGCTACTGTGGGCCAGCGCCCTGTTTGTGTACTTAGCATTATTGAAACAGGTGCTGCGCCCATTGGATTCCAGCTTCAGGGATTCATTGGTGGAGATAAATGACTGCCTCAGGGTCCTCCTTCCCACACAGCTTAAGTAGCTGTTGAGGAAGCACCAACTAACTTCCTGCCTCACTCACTCCCCCTCCCCTCCTACTCCCTCACCCACCCCCATCTCGTGACGAGGCTGCTAGCCTTTGGAGGTTCATAACACACCCCATTCTGCCCAGCCGCTCTCCAGGGCTCTGCCCACAGGTGGACCACTCACACAGCGGGGGGAGCACTCACAGTGCACACGGCCCTTCCTGAGGCCTTGTGCCTCCTCTTTTGGAAAAGTTAACATAGCCCCTTTTCAGGAAATGCTGTTGGGTCCTCTAAGGGCATCTTCCGTTCAGGTGATGGGGATGCCAAGATACACTTCTGAGTGGAGTTCTGGCTCACCTGCTGGGTAAAGAGGGGTCCACAGTGTGTTCTGTAATTCTGCAAGAGGACCCCGGCCCTGTGATTGGTCCTCCTCTCAAACCTTCTGAACTATCAGGCTTACATTTGCTGTCTCTACATAGCTTTGCTGGCAAAACTACTCCAAGCATTTTGTTTTACTTCTGGTTTTGTTTGCTTTAAAACATTTACAGGGAGGAGTGGATCAAAAGATGCCTCTTGTGGTCTCAAGGATCAACCCAGAGTCCCCGGTAAGTAGACATAGTCTATGCTACTTCCTGTGTTTGCTTTCCCCTAAGCCAAACAAGTTTCTATTTCTGGGTCCCATTCCTGGGTTTTGTTGGGGTTTAGTTTTTATTTGATTGATTGGATGGTTAGGTGATTAGCTACTTGCTTGGCGTGATCAGTAGCAACGTGTAGTTGGTAATACGGACACAGATGGAGGCCAAGAGAGGGACTCAGGTTACTTACAGCTGTGCTGGGCAGTATGGTTCCTGGAACTGCAGCACCGTGTCACCTGGGTCCTTGTTCTAGGTGCAGAACCTCTGGCCAGAGCACAGGTGCAGGCCCAGACCCATAGTCCTGCCTACTCTGGATCTGTCCGTAACAAGAGCCGTGGGTGATGCATTTAACTTTGGGAAGTGCCACTCACGGGAAGGAAACTGAGAGAGCTGCTTTTGGCTTGCCTCCAATAGAGATCCTTTGCCTCTTTCTGTGTACATATTTAAGGTGTAGCAGGTAGGTGAGTGGAACTGCTATCTTTCCTGGCTTTCGTGTGATGGTTTGTGTTTGTGAAAACATTGTGACATGAGCAAGTCAATGTGCCTTCTCTGAGGGGACCACATGGACAGAGGAGTTACTCTGCAGTCCTCATAAAGCTTACCGCAGGGGGCCTGGGAAGCTGGCTCAGTGGATAATGCTCTTGCCTCTCAAGCGTGAGGACCAGGTTTACATCCCCAGTACCCATGTAAAAGTCAGGGGCAGGTGTGATGGCTACTGTAATCCTATTGTGTGGGAGCCAGACAGGGGATCCCAGAGCAAGCCGGGCAGCAGGACTAGGTGAGCTGACAAACTCCAAGAGGAGTGAGACACCCTGCCTTAGTAACGGGGTAGGAAACAATCAAGGAAGATACCATTGTCCATGTCTGCATACATGTGGACACAAACACACACACACACACACACACACACACACACACATGGTTTTTTGGTGTTTTGGTTATTTGTTTGTTTTTAAACTTGCTGTTTACCTGTTATTTTTCATTTGTGGTTCCTAGGGAGTAAGGCTTGCTTTCCCATACCGTTCTGTTCATCATCTTTCTGCACAGTGGTTTCTGCCCCTGCTATAGAGCTGATTCTCTATTATAAGACAGACAAATGCTCATTCATAGCTGGCTAGGCGTTTTCAAATAGTCTGTCCAAGAAACAGAAGGTTAGAGGCATCGTTGAGTCATTTTAATCAGCACGGTGGGCTCCCGTGGAGAAACGCTTCAAGAAACTTGACTTGTCGGTTCTGAAGCGTCTCATAGCCTGTATTCTGAGCCCCTTTAAAATTCCACCGCCAGCTGCTATGTCCACCTAGCAGCAGCTACGCAAACGGAGACAGTGATACCCAGGGGAGAGGAGGTGAACTTGATCGCAGTCTCAGGTGTCTGGGATCAGGGAGAGGCGGCCTTCTGCTTCCCCTGGAGGCCAGCGCTATGGTAACAGACTCACTTCCCTCCACCAGGCGGACACTTGCATGCCAAAGCTGAATGAAGGGGATCAGATCGTGCTGATCAATGGCCGGGACATCTCAGAGCACACTCACGACCAGGTGGTGATGTTCATCAAAGCAAGCCGGGAGTCCCACTCAAGAGAACTGGCCCTGGTGATCAGGAGAAAAGGTAACACACAGGCCCTTGGGGGCGGAGCCACAGGGACACAGCCATAGAGGAGAAGCAGTCTTATCTGCCCAGTTTCTTTGTGTTCTGATTCTCTGAGACAGCTCCCACACTGTAGCCCAGGTTAAATGCCAATTTGTAGCAATTCTGCTTCCTGGATGTTCCGATTATAAGCCTGCCACTCCATTCTGGGCTGCGTGCTATGTTTTCTACAATAGGAGTCAGTGTTTGAAAATGAATTTTTTTTTAACAACTAGGGTATCTGGCTTGTCACCACCATGAACAAAAAAATATGAAGATCTGTCTGAAGGGGCCCTGACCACTCCTGGCCAGGCCTCTGGAGAATGCAGCCCCAGTACCCCTTTACATAGGCCTAGAGCCCTGTAATTCTTAAAGCTTAGACCCAACTGGCTCACAGCCCACCCTTCTTAACTTGCCTGGCTCTGAAGGAGACTCACTAGGTCCTATCTTGTTTTTGCGTGTTTGTCTTTGACAGGGAGGGAGGCAGGTAGGATCAGAGAGCAGGGACCCGACTCTGCCTCCTATACTGAGGAACCTCCAAGTTAGCCAGTCTTCCTTATCGTTCCTCAGATGTTACTGGAGCAGAGTTAGCCTAGACTCTTCCTCAGGACTCTTGTGCAGATTAAATGACATTCTTGGAGCACTGGGGAAATGGGAGTGTGCTGTGGCGATGTGAAGAAAGGCCTGTTGAATATTGTTACCATTACTGTTGCTGTTTTACTATACTAAGCCCAAGACCCCCAGCTAGGGTTTGTGAGCGAATAAAGGAAAGATGGACGCACAGACACAGGACAACTGGGCTCATGTGGGCTGTGTGCACTCTGGTAGATGGCACCAACCACTTCCACAACCTAGAACCTCAGTGTGTTTACTGTGGACAGCACAGGGGAGGCATTAGCTAGACTCTGTAGGCGGTGTCTGCCGGCAGCCATCTCGGGCTGTGAACATCTGGGAGGAGGAAGCGGCAGTTGCTGGATTTTGTCCACGCTTTCCAGTCATTCATAAACACTCATACTTTGGACTATGGGGTGGCTATGCCATTCTGAGCCTGACCTGAGGAAGGCTTGGCCAATTTCCCATGGGTCCAAGGCACTGGTCCTTGACATGGCTGTGCCTGTGACCACAATCTGTATTCATTCAGGAATCCGTCTGCTCTTTATCAACTCCCTCGAAGCTCCCTCGGCTCTCCACACTTCTGTACAGCCATTATTATTATTAATATTACTATTACTACTACATTTATCCTATCATTTTTGTATGTATATGTGTATGAGTACTGTGTATACATGTACTTAGAGATCAGAGAACAACCAAGCAGTCAGTTTTCTCCTGCCACCATCTGGGTCCTTGCAATCAAACTCAGATTGTCAGGCTTGTTGACAAGTTCCCCTACCCACTGAGCCATCTTGCTGGGATCATTTAATGAGGCAAGTGGGCCACCACCCCTGGTGTCCTGGGCCAGCAAGCAGAGTGACCATTGTCCCATCCGTTGTGTCTGTTCCAGCTGTGCGCTCCCTGGCCGAAATCAGATCCGAAGATGAGCTGAGTCAGCTTTTCCCAGAAACCATGTTTCCTGTATATCCTGAGGGCGGGGACAGTCTGGAGGGATCCATGGAACTGCTGAAGAAAGGTCTGGAAAGTGGTACGGTGCTGATCCAGTTTGAGGTAAGGGGATCCCGGGGCCTGAGTCTCCCCCAGTTACTGTCACTCACCATGTGCCTCTGCCGCAAGTGAGCAGCAGCCGGCAAAGCTAAAACATGGTCCTCTCTCCTTGGCCAAGGGACTGTGGTTCAAAGGGCTCAGACAACAGAGTCTCAGTGAGGACCATAGTAAGGCTTCTACTCCCCCAGAACTGATGGGGGCCCCCTCTCAGTCTCAGAATGGTGAAGCATCAGGTGAAGGTCCAGGACCTCTCCCAGGGGTTCAGCTCTCCCACTGTCTTCTAGCAACGATCTGTAGGCAGGGCTGGCCTGTCAGAAACAGAGTGAGAGGCTCTGAGCCTGCAGAGCTGCCAGCAGGAGCTCAACTCCCAGGACAGAAAATGGTGCCATACAGAGGATGGTGGCATGTCAGCAGTCTACCCCTAACTACACATGGGAATTTAGAGAGTTGGTATCACCCCGTGATGGCAGTGTCTGGCCTTCCAAGACCACCAGACCACAGAAACGTAAAGTCTGCCCTGTCTTCTCAGGAAGGACGGATCTACAGTATACATGATAATGCCTCTGTCTGCAGAAGCACCCGCAGAGGCCTTTCACACAACCCCCAAAAGCAAAACTGCTTTCAAGTCGGTTTTATCCACCACTAGTCAAATGAAAATAGAACGTGTTAATTGGCCGTGTGTGTTTGGAGGTGGAAGAGGGCAGTTGTTCATGCAGTGAACAGGTAAATGCATGGTGCCTCAGTATGCTGGAGGCTGAGGCAAGAGGATTGTAAGTTCGAACCTAGCCTGGACCACATGGTAAGACCCTGGCTCAGAAAGGGGTTTAGGGTAGGGAAAGAAGAAGAAAGAATACCAAAGGACCTAGTTAACATTGTTAACACAGTTCACAATGCCACACATGGTCTCGGCTCACAAAATAAGATAAGAGGCTCTGAGGGGGTTCAGAAACAGATCATCAGTTATTAGAAAAAGCCTGGAAGGAAAAAGATGAGGGAATGTGGGCAATTTGTCAAATGTATCTGACTGCTGAATGGCTCGGGAAGAGAGCGTAGCACAGCTGGCAGATGGGAAGGAATGCCGAGCAGAAAGCCTTAAGCAAAAGGTTCACCTTGTGGTAGCCTAGGGCCCAGAATGTAAACCATGGCAGAGCAGTATGAGTGGAAAAGCAGTAGAAACCACTCCATGGGAGGAAAAGCAGAAGTGGTTTGTTCCTCCCCTTCCACGCCCCCCCCCCAATAGCGATTTCTCTATTTTTTAATGAACTGGTTTCAGAACAAGAAAGGTCAAAGCTTGCATCTTGTGGCAGTGGTATCTGGATGAGAAACTATGATGTGAGCAGTCCAGAATAACTGAAGTGAGGCTTCAAATCCTGGCTCAGAGCTGGGAGGGGCACGGGTGGATTGTTTGAAGATTTGGCCCCAATCTGAGGTACTTTGGGGGTGTGATGAGGGATGGAGAGATGGCCCCTAGCCACAGGGAGCTTGCTGTCTAATTTTGGTATATTTACAGGGCTGTATCATGTGACCAAGCAACATTCAAGATTTTATAATTGTGAGTGTATGTTCCCTGGCAACTGGTGATTCCAGTTGATCAGAATATCCACAAGGAGGCACTGTGGGCTCTCCTTGGGAACTTGAAGTCATGTTCTTACCCTAACTAAAAGTCTTCTCTGGGCTCTTGCTTCAACTTTCGTGTGTGGGGTTTTTTTGTAAATATTTATTTATTTATTATGTATACAATATTCTGTCTGTATGCCTGCAGGCCAGAAGAGGGCACCAGACCTCATTACAGATGGTTGTGAGCCACCATGTGGTTGCTGGGAATTGAACTCAGGACCTTCAGAAGAGCAGGCAATGCTCTTAACCACTGAGCCATCTCTCCAGCCCCTTTCGTGTGTTTTTTACATATAGGAAGCCCCCATAAGGGTCCCCTTGCAATGATTTTGTCAGCTTCTACAAGTATTTTCTTTTTCCTCACTAGAAGTCCAATGCGCTATCCATTGCACCACAGAGCCACCTTTTAAAGTATTTCTTAAAGGGTGAGCCTGTAGCCACTTGTATGGAAATCACGTGGGGAGCCAGGGACCTAGCCCACAGCTGCCAGGCATGGGTGTTTCAACAGAGTCGCCTGAGAGAGTTAGTGTGTGTTGGGGGCACTAATTTATTACTAGTGCATGATGTGGAAGTGAACTTGTACTGCGGTGTACATGGACAGGCCAGAGGACAGCCTTGTGAAGGCATTTCTTTTCTTTTTTTGGTTCGTTTCTTGAGACAGGATTTCTCTCTGTAGCCCTGGCTGTCTTGTAACTTGCTCTGTAGACTAGCCTGGCCTCAGACTCAGAGATCCTCATGCCTCTGCCTCCCGAGTGCTGGGATTAAAGACGTTCACCAGCGCCACCTGATTCATTCATTTTCTTACATGTGGGTTTTGGAGATTGAACTCAGGTTGCCAGACTTCTGCATCAAGCACCTCTCCTGTCCTCTTTGAATTGTTGAAACATCAATTAATCCCAGAGAAGAAATGGTATTAGGCCCGCTGCCTGCCCCTGCCTCTCCCTGCCCTCCAGAGAATGCCTTAAGAACATGCACAACTGGGCAGTAGTGGCGCACACCTTATTCCCAGTGCTTGGGAGACAGAGGCAGGTGAATCTCTGAGTTTGAGGCCAGCCTGGTCTGTACAGCAAGTTCCAGGACAGCCAGGGGCTACACAGAGAAACCCTCTGTCTCAAAAAAAAAAAAAAAATTGCAGTTTACACTTCAGTCTGTTGCACTTCATATTCTAATAAGCTCTTTAGATAAAGTCATATTGAAGTCTAAGATACTGACTGGATAAGACAGGTTTAATCTTCAGTGAAGTGCTGGGATCCCAGAGTTCCCTGGATATCCCTCACTGCCCCTCAAAGAGCCCTAGGCGCCTGGGAACGTCGTGTGACCCAGCCATCTCAGGGTAGGAGTCTGTCTTCCAGCACTAAGCAGAGTGAGCCAAGGGAAGCCAGAGACACAGGAAACTCCCAGGAAAGGCAACCTTAGTGAGCCTCGCTGTGTCCAGGGCAGCAGCTTCTGTCATTCTCCCGCTGTATTTCTACCTATCCCTCTGTAATTCTCACGACGCCCCTGTTAGGGCAGTTTCATCCCCAGCGCCCAGGAGGAGGAGAATCTCAGTTAAAAGGGCTTATAGTAGAAGTCAGAGAGCCTGACGGGAGTCCAGGCAGGGTACCAATACCTCGAGCTTATCCTTTTAACCAGCATGTACACGGGCTTAGGAAACTGAGATGCCCTTGGCCTGTGAAGTTGTTATTAGAAGCATACACGTCAACGCTATCTGGGAAGCTGTCTAGCCACATGGAGCCAGACAGACTTTAAACTCTGACTCTTCCCCTTACCCTCTTCCCTTAACCTCTATGGCCCTTGTTTCCCCCACGTGTAAATTGGGTGTCTCCTGAATTGATTGTAAGGAGTGGATGAGATAAATACTTAATGCATTATCTGGCCCGTGATTAGAACACTATAAAAATTAATAGCTGTTATTATTTATAAACCAAGAGAGGCTTCAAGAGCATACCCAGCCTGCGTAAGGTATCATCACTTGGCACTGAGCTTGGAGCCCTGGGCTGTAAATTCCAGAGACATGACTGTCTGAGTTCTCTCCCATCCTCCAGGACCTTGACAAGTGGGCTGCTCAGCTGGTGGCGGCTGTGCTCTGTGGACAACTGCAGGGGAAAGATCCTGGTTCCCAGCAGGCAGTCATACTGCCTCCTCCGTGACACAGAGCGCCTGCCTGAGGCTTGTGGTCTGCAGACAGACCTCCCCACCCTCACTCTTGGAAAGCTTGCTATAAACATCCTTTTTTTTTTTTTCATGAAGAGAATTCCTTCATTTGTTTCTGCGTCTTCCAGTAAACAGGAGGCATTTATTTGGTCCCCGTTTTTCCAGAACAACCATGGTAACTAGCAATTCTGAAGCACTTTGCCATCTACTGAGTGTGTCCCTCCTGCTTCTGCATCAGCCCTCACTCCGCCTGTGAAGTAGATGTGGCAGGAATTATTAGAATCCGTCTTTGTATTCTTTTGGTGCTCAAGATTGAATCCAGGATGTCTGCCACGCTAAGCATATACTCTACCACTGAGCCCCGGCCCCAGCCCCCGCCCCAGCCCCTAGACCACTCTTTTAGAAGTGAAAAGAAGGCACTCATCCCACGCATACACCTTGTCAGGGGTAGACCTGGGATTAGATCCGTACTGACAATGCAAATCTGGGGCTGGAGAGATAGCTCAGCCATTAAGAGCAGACACTGCTCTTCCAGAGGACCCAAGGGCAGTTCCCAATGCCCATGCTGGGTGGCTCATAATTTCCTCTCTCAATCCAAGAGATCTGACTCTTCCTCTTCTAGCCTCCACATGCACTTAACACACGTGTGCAAATCATCACATGGACACACATGAACCTAACTAAAAATAAAAGACAAAAACCAAAAATCTAAAAACCAAATATACCTGGGTGGGTATCAAACCCCTATAGTCTGAGTTACTGGGGACCCTGAAGCAGAAGGAACACTGAATCCCAGGAGTTTTGAGACCACTCTAGGCGGCATAGCAAGACCTTGTCTTGAGAACACACTTAAAAACTCAATCACTAGCTGGGCGGTGATGACAAAGCCTTTAATCCCAGCACTCAGGGGGCAGAGGCAGGCAAATTAAGGCCAGCCTGGTCTACACAGAGACTTTCAGAACAGCCAGGGCTATGCAGAGAAACCCATGTCTCAAAAAAAAAAAAAATTAAAAAAAAACCCTCCAATCATCAGTAGCTCATGCTTACTGGGTGTGACTCAACTCTTTCCCACCCTGCTTCTCTCTGGCCTACTCTTAGCTACTTTCTCCTTGGAGACCTGTGGAGTTCAGTTGATAGAAAATGAGCATTGCAAGGGATTAACTTCTTCCCTGGATGAACGGACAGGGGATGGTTAAGTGGGTTAATGGATTGACAGATGGACTGATAAAAGGATGGGTGAGGAAGATGGATGAGTAGGTGGCTGGGTGGATGGATGGATGGATGGATGGATGGATGGATGGATGGGCAGATAAGAAACAGTATTCACAAGAGACCACTGAGGGTCCTTCCTACCCCATCTAACTTTGCTCATTACCTCACATCATCTGTCTTTACCAAAACAAAAAAATCATCTCCGTCTGACCCGTCTCTTAATTGATGCCTACCTTGTCCTTCAAGGAACTACCCATTAGGGTCAAAACAAGTGACTCACTGACTCCTATGATAATTTCAGAATTTGTATCTGGAAGGGTCGGGGTAGCTCAGCAAGGCATCAACAGAGATTCAGATCAGAACTTGTTACAATTAGCAAGGAAAATTGTACCTTCAAGATTCGATCTGATCCCTGGAAAGACTCTGTTTCTGTCCGGTGTGGTGATGCACACCTGTAATCAGGAGGCTGAAGCAGGAAGATGGAGAATTCTTGGCCAACCTGAATCACATGCCTCATGCAGGCAGGCACAGCTCTGGAGTAGTAGCTGAGAGCTCACATTTTGAGATACAACCTCAAGACAGAGAGACACTGGGAATGCCTTTCGAAACCTCAAAGCCCACCCCCAGTGACACGCCTCCTCCAAGAAGGTCACACCTCCTTATCCCTCCCAGATTGTTGCACTAACTGGAAGCGCATGTTCAAATACATGAACAGATGAGGGCCCTTCTCATTCAGACCACCACAGCTACATTCCGGTCATTTAACAAAAGTGACTTTGTATCTTATTATCCTCTCAGCAGGTCATTACTACTGAGATACAGGTAAAATCATTTGATAAATAACACCTTAGGCTGGGTTTGTGCTTGTTGCTAGAGCACAATTGATGGCATTTACATTTCTGTTATTTGAAAATATATCCATCTTCTTACCTGTAGAGGCTGGCTCATATTCACTGAATTGAATACCTCCACAGAGCTAATTGGTTAGAAGAAAAATGCCATTTAGATAGACGTGACTGGCTTGTGAGCTGTCCTGCCAGACAGCACCTCAATCAGGCCAGAACCTCCAATAAATCACAAGTTCGTTTCTGGAGTGGACTCATCATCTGTAAAAGCTCCGGATATTTGGAGTCGGTTCAGCAGCTTCCCTTAGATTGTTAGGTGCTGAGAATGCCCAGGTTCTTGGAGAGCTGGCAAATTCAAAACATCCCGTAGATGTATAAGAAACAAATACAGTACCCTTGTCATGACCCCGAATCTCCATGTTAACTCTCCTCTGGTAAGTTCTATGCAGTTTGTCTAATGAGAGAAACAGGCCTAACAGATACCAGATTACAAAAACAATACAGTGCCCAGAAATACAGCTGAGGGTGGGTGTTTAGCCTCCCCCTTCAAGACGCAAAGCCGTCTTAATTGAGGATGTTGGCTATAGCTCGGTGAACTGATCAGTCTCTATCCCTGCAGGGCAGTATGTATCAGAGCCATTGAAAATATGCTCAGAAGCTGTAATTCTGTTCTCAGATACTTATCAGAATAAAAAGACTCTGGATTGGGCTAACAACAAAGTAGACTAAAAATTAAAATAAATTATAATAATTAGATTATTGAGCCATTAAAAATCATTGGAGTGGAGAATATCTTACAGTATTGGAAAGAGATACCATGTAATAACGAGGATGAAACAGGCTTTTAAGTTGCGGCAGGGTTTCCGAGAGTGCTCGCAGGCTATGAGATGCTGAGATCTTTCGGTCTAAATGAGCTTGGGAAATGTTTGGCTGCTCAGAATTAAAGAGGTTTATGCCTCATCGGACTTGTCTTGTTAGAGATCTGTAAAACACGGGGTAAAGAAAATTGATATTGAAATCTTTTCTGAGGAATATCGTGTTACTTTGTGTTGCTGGGTCAAACGCCCAAGACAAATAGTAGAAAGGAAGGGAGGATTTGTTGGGGCTCGCGGTTTCAGAAGTCAGGTCCACGGTGGCCTGGCTCTGTGATTTCTTTACTGTACTGAAGCAGACCATCACTGTGCAGGGCATGGAAAGCAGAGCTGTTGTCCTCAGCAGTCACAGGCAGAGAGGGGAATGCCTGTCATAGGCAGCCTCCTTCTCACCTTCCATTCCATCCTGGTCCTGTGGGAATGATGCCATCCACACTCGGTGTTGCTCCATGCCCGAGTTAACCATCTCTGCAGAGTATGTCACGTCTTCAGAGCTTTACTGGTATGATCTAGGTGACTCTCAATCCAGTTGAAAATCAAGATTAATTATCACAGCTGGGCAGTGGTGGCATTGTGAGTTCGAGGGCAGCCTAGTCTATAGAGCGAGTTCTAGCACAGCTAAGGCTACACAGTGAAACCCTGTCTTGAAAAACAAAACAAAACCAAAAAAATTAACTATTACAAATACTTAGAGCTTTCAGATACTTTATTTCCATTGATATAACATGAAAAAGACCAGTAAGTACTTTATTTTCATTTTTTGATGTTAAGAAGGTAATATTGGGACTAGAGAGATGGCTCGGTCGTTAAGAGCACTTTCTTCTGTTCCGGGAACCCAGTTTCATACCTAATACCTGTGCTGAGGCTCAAAACTATCTGTAATTTCAGTTCCAAAGGATGTTAGGCCCTCCTCTAGTTTCTTTTTGCCTTTCTTTCTTTCTTCCTCCTCCTCCTCCCCCTCCTCTTCTTTCCCCTTCTTCTCTTTCTTTGTGCAGCCCTGACTGTCCTGGAACTAGCTTATATAGACCAGGCTGACCTTGAACTCACAGAGATCTGCCACCTCTGCTTCCCAAGTGCTGGGATTAAAGGTGAACACCATTACTCCTGGCTCCTTCTGTAGTTTCTCTGGACGCCAGATACATGGTGCACAGACATGTAAGCAAAACACTCAAATATATAAAAATATTTATATATATATTTATGCATATGTATTTATTTATACACATGCATTATGTATGTTTACATACATACTTATGCATATTTGCATATATGTATACAGAAGATAATAAGTTTAAGAAAATACATGAAAAGACCGCCTCAAAGTTGTAAAATTACAAGTAGGCTTTTGCTTTTTAACTTCATTGAGAAGGGGGAAAAAATATGGCTTAAATTCCTGGAGTGTTACTAAGAAGCCTGTGTGCGAAGGGCTTGGTGACAGTTCTGGAAGCCGCTGTATAGACATGAGAGGGGCAGCTTGGCCAGCTTCCTTCCGACTTGAGTCTGTCCTCTCACTCATGGTCATGGCCCAAGCCTTTAACCTCCGACCGCCACTTATAAAAGTCCCAGTCCTCCCCACAGCTGCAGTGATGATCATGCCAGCTCCTTTATCATCATGTCCACCCAGTCTGTGCAGATGATGCTTTATTTTGATTTTTAGCAGTAGTTGTATGTGTGGAGAACTGTCCCTTTAAATGAAGCTGCGATATCAGGATCGGTGTTCCGCTGTGGGGATGTATTCCTGACATAATTAATAGTGAATGAATTAGTCCTGCTCTTCAGCAAAGAGTATGCTTCATTCCATTGAACTGGATGAAAATGTAGTTTTAGACTAATTGAGGTGAGTCAGAATTCCTCCTCTCCATCCCCCCACACTTGCCAAAATTTGCTGTTAAAAATAAGGTTTTACCCGGATCCATTGTCTGTGACTCAACCCCTGACTGCCTTCTTTTCTCTGCACATCCTCAGGTTTGGATATATGTAAGACTTTAGCTGACTTGTCCTACCAAGATATGATTTCTTACCGAGGTTTCCTTATGCTATGTAACATAGGATCACTTTGAAGTGTTAAGATTGGGAGGTCTCACCAGGCAGTAGTGGCGCCTGCCTTTCATCCCAGCACTCGGGAGGCAGAGGCAGGCGGATCTCTGAATTCAAGGCCAGCCTGGTCTGCAGAGTGAGTTCCAGGACAGCCAGGGATACACAGAGTAATCCTGTCTTGAAAACCAAAGCATAAAATAAAATTAATAAATAGTGGGGTGTGTGGGGGGGGAATCTGCAGTGAAGACAGTTGACATTAGGATATGCTTTCGGATCTTTCTTCATAGCAGTAGGGTTTTGGGGACTTGATGCTGTTTTTCTAATTCGTGTATTTGTCTGGTAGCAACTCTACAGGAAGAAGCCAGGCTTAGCTGTCACGTGTGCGAAGCTGCCTCAGAATCTGGATAAAAACCGATACAAGGATGTGTTGCCGTGTGAGTATCCAGCCCGACGCCTCCTTCCCCCTCCACGAGATAAGGCCTCCCTTTGAAAACAGATTGTCTGGGATTCTGGACGGGTTTTCAGTGTGTCTGTAAACACCACCGTCTTTATTGCAGCCGGCTTAGACTCAGAACAGCTGGGAAGTAGTCCTTATGCTAATGAGGCAGTAGTTGCAGGTGGGGCTGGGAACTGAACCCCTGTTTACTTGGGATGATAACAATAACCACTCAGAATAATGGGCAAATTTTTCTCTCTCCGGCAGATGACACCACCCGGGTATTATTGCAGGGAAACGAAGATTATATTAACGCGAGTTATGTGAATGTAAGCTGGGAATCTGGGGGCTGCAAAAGAACACATTGATCCTAGTAATGAGAGTGGGGACAGCATGGGGGGCTTTGCCCATGACAAAGCACGCTCCCGTTCTCTCCCATCGTTCTAGTGCAGAGGCTTTATGAGAAAATGGGTGGTCTCACTTTACAGGGGAGCAAAAGCAGGTTCACCAAATAGCTTTAAAAGCCACGAACCTTTGAGAGATGGATCCAAACACATTCTAATTCCATCATCCACCTGCCGATGGACTGGGCCGTTGCCGTTTCTGTGTTTCTTTCTGCTGGTCTGTAACCTTCTGTGTTTTGCCTTCATGTTATCAGTGTCCCCCTGCCTACCAGTAAGAGAAGAAGTCGTCCTCCACGGATGTAGGGCAAAAGAGGCAAAAGGGAAAAGGTCGCCCGTCATGGGGGACACACGCATCATGGCGCAGCGTACCCAAACGTAGATTTCTCCCTTTATAGCTAGAGTCAGCAGATTTTTCCAGTAGTGGACCACATTGAGAAACACTTTCAGGTCGCCAGATGGCAGGACTGGTCCCTGGGGCCATCGCGGGCTAAACCATGACCTTGCAGAACTGCCCCCGTGAGAACTGGTGTAATCAGCAGTTCCTCTGCTCTGTTCACGTTACTATCAAATCTGGAGATGGCTCTGTGCCGCAGTTTCTTTTTTTCTTGCTGTGAGTGGATAAGATCTTTGTCGGGGATGATTCAGATAGCTGTTAGAAAAGTATAGATTGGAGGCTCCTGCTCGCCTTGGGTCCGCTGACAGTCTGTAACACCTCACCTTCCTCCCAATAGATGGAGATGCCCGCCGCTAACCTTGTAAACAAGTACATTGCCACTCAGGGCCCCCTGCCACACACCTGTGCCCAGTTTTGGCAAGTTGTCTGGGATCAGAAATTGTCTCTCGTGGTCATGCTGACAACGCTCACAGAACGAGGGCGGGTAAGTGACTTGATTTCCAGCTCCAGTGTGTGTAGATGGTGTTGTGTGGAACATGAATCTCAGGACAGGAAAGGGTCTGCTGGTGTCTTGCACATCTCCAAGTGGACACCTGCAGGGATGAGAAACTCAGCCTCCTCTTTGCCACTTCTTATGTGGATCTATTAAAGCAAGCAAGAAGGGCTGGAGAGACAGCTCCGCGGTTTAGAGCACTGGCTGTTCTTCCAGAGGACCAGAGTTCAAGTCAGCCCTCACGTGGCAGCTCACAATCATCTGTAACTTCGTTTCCAGGGGATCCAACACCCTCTTCTGATTGATCTTTATGAACACTAGCACACACATGGCACACATGTACAAACACTCGTACATGTAAAATAGTAAATCTAAAAATAATTCTTAAAAAGACAAGCTAAAAAGCAGTACCTCTCCCTTCACCCCACCTGCCCCACTCCTGTGCTGCCTGTGGCTCTGCTCACCACGTGGGATCGGTGTCTCACCTCACACAGTAAGATTGTAGTCTGCAAAGGCGACGTGTCCCTTCCCTCTGATAATGCACACCTTCGACTCTTGGCAACTTTATGCAGCCCTAGGCCAGACGGGGCTGAAAACAGTTCCTCCTGATGAAGTTACCAGCCTTTCTGACCTTGGCATTCCTCAATTGGCAGCTGAGACAGTGATAGCGCCCATCACGCTAGGGGACTGGGGAAGGCTGGGCAGTCTCTATAATGAACTCAGAGGACTGTGTGTTTCTAGTGTCCAGCAGACGCCGTCATGGTCATTTGGATTTAGCTCTTTCAGCTGCCTGACTTCTCTGTCTCAAACAAACAAATATTAACGGGTGGAGGTGGAACACTCATTTAATCCCAGCACTCAGGAGGTAGAGGCAGGTGGATCTCTGGGCGTTCAAGACTACTCTGGTCTACGAAGTGATTCCCAGGACAGGCTCCAAAGCTATAGAAAAATAGCTCAGAAAAAAAAATTAAAAATTAACACACACACACACACACCAAAAGAACCACTGATAATAGAGTCCAAGCATTCTTTCCCGAGCCCTGTATCTGAGGCCAGCCACACTTACCTCCTTTTCTATTATGTATTGTGGAGCTAGGGCTGAAATGCAAGGGACAGAATGTTCAAGTGATCCTAGACCCAGGTGGAGGCTTTTTTAGTGGCACAAGTCACGTGACTGCCACAAACAGGAATCTGCCTCCAGACCTGGCAGCCTCCGATTCTGGTTTGTTGTTGATGGCAGATAGTCTATGTTCCTCCTGCCTTTGGTACTTTGGGTGCCCAGACTCTGTGTTTCCTATGGAGCCGTTTGCAAAGCTGATTCTCTGCTGTCCCCTGAGGTCTTTGAGTTCATGATGTCATTCCTCCAAGCTGACACCTGAATCCTCCCAGTGACTCAACACCGTCATGGTCTTGCTGGTGTCAGGCTTCTTGCTATTTGAAAGCTCCCTCCCACCCTTCCAGCTAGACAGTCCTCCTGCTCCTCAGAACCGGGAGCCCCTGAAGGAATGGCAGGTGACCGAGGATCAGCTCTGGTGGCAGCCCCTCCCTCCCTCCATCTGTTTGTCCTAGCTCAGGAAAGAAAGGTCCTTTCGGTGACCCGAGAAATCTCACCCTCATCCATCCGCTCTCCTAGAGCCTGCCCGTCCATCTGCCCTTTCCTATCACCTGAGGTCTCCTTGTGGCCCAGTGGGTTTCTTTGTCTCCCTTTTCTTCTTAGTGTAACTCACCAGCCTGCTTCCATGTGTTGGAGAGTCCCTGGAGGCCTGCCCATCCCTTTAGCATCTTGGGCCTGGGCCACTTACTCTGTCTGCCCTTCATCAATAGTTAGAGACCTGTCCTTTTAAAGTCCAAAGTCCCTGCTTCCTTCTCCTGTTACAGATTCTTGGGTGACCTGCACCCTTTGTCCTCCAGGCCCAGTCGACTGCCACTCCTTCTGGCTCAGTCATTCCGGTGAATGGCTCTGCCCCTCTTTGGCTGTAAGATGAACTTTCCAGGGCTTCCCGCTCATTCTTCTTATGCTGTCCGTGCCTGTAGGAGGTGGGTCTCCCCGCAGGCATGCCCTAGAGTCCCATGCCCTTCCTGTGCTGCGTGGAGTCCGTACAATCTCCGTGTTCAGGGGGCCACCTGCAGCGTCTCTCATCACCTGTGCTCAGAAAGATTGCAGGGGTCACTGACCTCTGTCCTTGTCTCCTGAGGGTGGCTTTGAGTAGGTTCTCTGTGGAGGTTTGGGGGAACCAATCTCCCTTGCCTTGCATCAGATGTGTGTTTTCCCTGGGGGTTGGGGGCTGTATTTTATATCTCCATATGAATAGTGTGGCTGGCTAATCTTCTTTCCTGTCTCACTGGTCAGTTAAAGCAAGGCTTTGAATAGGACTGAAAAGTTCCAGTTTCCACATCACCATGAAAGACAATGCCCATCTCTTGAGTGGCTCTGAGTATTGAGAGTGGATTTCTAGAAGGTTAAGTCCTGGTGTCCCATTGTCTCACTGGACCAGAGGCAGTGGATTTGCTCTGAATAGCGATAAAGACCATGACTGTCCCGAGGCTGACAAGAAGAGGTTTGGGGTGACACAGACCTGCCTCTTGGCACTCCCTCTGTTTCCTGTGTGTGCTTGATGATGTGCCCATAGAGGTTAGATGGCTTCCCCCCCGTGGGACTGATTCCTGAGTCTGGTTAGTATCCAGATGCCCTCAGGTGGTCTCACAAGCCTTCCAGCTCGCGAACCGCCAGGCCAACTGCTTACTTTCTGCTTGAACACTTCTACTTAGTGCCATTATGTAAGATGAGCCCAAAGCCACCAACCAACCCCTCGTGTGGACACTTACGGAGCCCCTGCCCCTGAGCCTACAGTCGGAACCAGAGGCACAATCTACTTAACCTAGCCACCAGCACTAGCCACCTGAAGCCGGTCTCAGCTCCCCCACCTCCTCACTTCATCTGCCCATCGTTGTTCGGTGCCATTGGTACCCAAATGGCTCCCACTTTGTCCCTCTTGGTCCCTCCTATCTCTTCTCAGGACCATCCCATTTCCCTCGCAGCAGAAGCAACAGCTCACTGGCCCAGAATTTTCATAGGCTGATTTATCCACTTTGCCTTCAGCTGGGCTTTGACAGAGGGTCTGGGCCAGCATGTCCTGCCCATCCCCTATAGATGCACATCTCCTAAATGCACAGAGCAAAATGTTGCCTGTCTCCAGATTAACCTGTGCCCTTTGTGCAACTCTCCTGAGTAGTCTGTTGCGCCCAGGTGACCCTTTCCATCCTGCCTCCTTTTCCTGCAGCCTAAATGATTTGTTCTTGCCTCGTCTGTTATGGGCTTTTAGTCCTGGTTTCCATCCTGCCTCCTTTTCCTCCAGCCTAAATGATCTGTCCTTGCCTCACCTATAATAGGCTTTTAGTCCTGAGATCCCTGACCACTCTGACCATGACATCTATCGCTCTTACCTGGTCTGCCCCGACCCGTGCGGCCTGTCCTTTCTATCTGCATTCCTTTGACTGGGGGGAAAAGCACCCAGAGGATAATGCCATAGCATCTCTGATTCATCAAACCCTCCCTCAGGGATGCTTGTTGACCAGCTAAGTTAGCAAGAAATTAAGAACTGATGATACAGCCTTCCTAATTGGGCCCACAGCTCTCCCACAAACCCCATCTGGCCCATCTTCCTGAGACATTCTTCCTCTGCCATGAACCCAGCCTTCAGAATGTTTCTCTGGTCCCCGAGAGCACTTCCTTTCCAAAGTCATTTCAGCGTTGCCTTTCCTTCCCAGATCCTCTTCTTGGAGTTAATGGATGGCTGGGAGCAGAAGATGAGCGCAGTCTCATAAACTTACAACACTTTGTGGAGACAGTATTCCGAGTCCTTCTGGCGACATCTGCCAGTAGCTATGGCCTACCAAGCAGCTGCAGTGGCTATTGTCCTTCCACGACCCACTTCTCTGTGGTGGTCGGCCCCCTTTCCTCTTATCGTCACAGCCTGGAGTGACATCTGTGCTCTGTTCTCGTAGTTCTTGTGGCCTGACACGGGGTAAATCCTCTGAGCCTTAGATAATCCAGCCATAGTCACCATTCCTTGTGGCCAATGTGAACATAAAGGCACCCCTGGGGGCTTAACAGATACTTTTCCAAAGATGTGGGGCTTCTGTACCCCTTCGCCAGCAGTCATGAGACAGGCTTACGAGATGCACACTGGGTTATAGGGCACATTAACAGGACAGAGTGCAAGGCCCTTCATGGACTTCTGATTCTTCCACTGCATCCCTAGTGTGTCCAGATCCAGAAAGACTTACAATGAGTCCAGTTCCCTGCAGATTCCTTGTGGATAAAGATACCGGAGTGTGCAGGTCTGTGTAGCTCTGCCTTGCACGGGGACATTTCACTTTGGAGATCTTCCCCCAGCTAACCTAGGGCAGAACCCTGGGGAGCCGAGGGGCAGTTTTCTTCTTCTGTACAGGTGAGAGACACAGGTTCAGATGGACAGACAGGCATACAGTCTTTGTCCAGCAGTTCTGCCTCTGACCCTGCAGACAGCAAGCACTCAATCTTGGAGAGGCGGAGAGTGTCTCCACCGGGGTAAATTTCCATCCAAACTGTTTCAATGAACCTTTACCTCCAGCCCCCACCGCATACTCTAATTTCAGATAGTCACGGTGCCATTTGAGAAGATGCTGGGAGAGCTGTTTCCCGACAAGTTCCATGTGTCTGTTGGTTATACCACCTTTCTGCTATAAACGAATGTCATTTTTAGTTACGTGGGCACCAGTCTAGATTTTAGGAGGAATTTTTTTCCTCTCTAAGCTCTGCATGATGGCACATGCCTACAGTGCAAGCTCTCAGGAGACCAAAGCAAGAGGGTGGCTTGAGCTAGCTGGACCAACACAGAAATCTATAATAATAATAACGATATGTAATTATTGGTGTTAAATGAGTCAATATTGGACAGAGTAACTATGGGCAGTTTAGACTTTCCCCTGTTGTGGAAGCCAGAGATGGGAGCCACAGTGGCTTCTGGAAGAGGCTACAGGGTTTGGAAGGGGAAATAGAGCATGGGAACGTTAGAAAGCCACAGCTGGCATATTGGCAGACACTGTGACAAACCACAGGATGAATGCTAGACTATGTCATAGCAGCTTTGTGGCCATGGCTAGTCTTAGCGCACAGTGCCCTAGATTCCTCCTTTGCTGTATGGAAAGTCTTGGCTCCACTGGGAATTTTTTTATTTACTTTTAATTGTTTTAATTTTATTTTATGTGTATGAATGTTTTGCCTGTGTGTATGTCTGCGTCCCAGTGTGTCCCTGGTGCCCATGGAGGCCGGAAGAAGGGATCAAATCCCCTGGGACTGGAGTCACACATGATTGTGGGCTGCCATGTGGGTGGTGGGTACTGAACCCTGATTCTCTGCAGAAACAGTCAGTTGTCTTAACCTCTGCCCCATCTCTTCAGCCCACCTTTAAAAAATATTTTACAACTTTGATTTATTGTGTGTGTATGTGTGTGTTGAACATGCTTAGAGCACACATGTAGAAATAAGCATTTATGGGAGTTGGCGCTCTCCTTCTTCCATGGATTTGGGCGATAAACATTCATCATCAGGGTTACACAGCAAGTGTTTTTACCCACTGAGCCATTCACCACCCTCAGAGGGACAGGTACAAAGTCTATACCCTCCGAGGCCCCAAACCCTATTTCCTATGAAAGCATTTGAGGTTGTAGGAGGCCCTGTTTGCATGGAAAGGGGTTGTTGTCTCGGCTTGGAAGTTTTTTAAATGAGGACTTTTGAGGAAGCTGGCCAATGTCATTCAGTTACTGTAGCTTTCACAACAGCAGTATTGATGACCCCCGTTGACCTCACCCACCAGTGCCTCCATCCTGCAACCTCTCTGGCCTCTGTCAGTGTGTGAAAACCAGAGATATAGACAGGTCAAGGGCTGTTGGAAGTCAAATGGCCAATAAGTGGAGAGAAAGTTCTTCCAGCAGCACCCTGTCTGATGCCCAGTGAGCTCTTAACTGCAGTGTCCCAAGGCTCCTGTGAGGGAGGTGGAAGATGAGGAGAGGTGAGGTGGCCGAGGCTGCTGAGAGCGGAAAAGAGGCCCAAGGAACCTGGATCAGCCCGGGTAGAGTGTAGGTAGCCCCCAAATCCAGGCCCTATTGCTTTCCCATGAACAAACCACAGAGGAGAAGGTGACACCCTTGGCCGACTGGCTTCTGGTAGGCTGGCCCACCCTAAAAACCCAGGCCCCATTGCTCTCCCAGTGAACAAAACCTAGATAAGTTGACTCCCTTCTTCAGGCCATGGGCCCAAGTGGTCTCATCTGAGTTTCTCCTCTCCTGTCATTCCTCCTTGAACAGATGTCTCTGGCTGTCATGCAGTATAACTGCCCCTGGTTATGCCCCACAGAAAAGCCTGACTCGTAGTCTCTGGTTTCTTATAGACCAAATGTCACCAGTACTGGCCAGATCCCCCTGACGTCATGGACCACGGCATCTTTCACGTCCAGTGTCAAGCAGAGGACTGTACCATTGCTTATGTGTCCCGAGAAATGCTAGTTACAAACACTGAGGTGAGTGTGGTCCCGAGGGACATGGTGGAGGGGCAGGCCCAGTCAGGAGCCCCTGCGGAGTTTCTTGTTCACCTCTGCTGCAATGTCACCTGGGTGGTGGAGAGCCAGTGTCCCATGTATGGAGCTCTGCCATTCACAGGGGCCAAGAGGGAGAGGCGGCCCTGGGGTCTGTCCCTCAATGGTGTGTGGGTAAACAAAATAGGCCTAGCTGTGTAATAGTGTTCAGCCTCAAAAAAGGACATTTTGGACAAATGCCAATGTGGGATGTGTCTGGAAGACATTATACCAAATGACTGGAGGTCAAAAAGGTCAAGAAAGCAATGTCTTGGGGGCAAGAGTGATATTTTGGGAGAGTGGGAACTTGGTGGGAATTGACTGAGACCATAGCAGAGCTGGCCACAGAAGGCCAAGAGGACACTGAGGATAAGGCCACCCTGGCTGGGGTCCACGGCAGGGCTCACTGCTTTGATGACTCACCGAGGCCACATCTTCCACAGACTGGGGAAGAACACACAGTGACCCATCTCCAGTATGTTGCGTGGCCTGACCACGGCGTGCCTGATGACTCCTCAGACTTCTTGGAGTTTGTGAAGTACGTGAGGTCCCTGAGGGTAGGCGGGGAGCCTGCCCTCGTTCACTGCAGGTACTGACCTTTACTGCATTCTGTTTTCAATGGTTCTACTCCTTGGGAAGGCCAGGAGGAATAGTCAGACACGAAACCCACCCTTGTCCCACAAAGTCACATGCTCCTGTTAGACTATGCTTATTTCCTAACAATTTCTAAATACTTGAAATGTAGTGAAGCCATGAACATGTGCTGGACATATATAAATAAGTCATAAACAAGTGCAGCTGGACACTGAAAAGGAAAACCCTGCCACACCTCCTTGTCCCAAAGTTTCTGAGCTTGACAGCACTTATGACTCAGAGAAGGAGTGAACTTTCTGTTCCATGGATGGGTTTCTCATTAAATCTGAGCCTCAGGACCTGTGGGAACGGGCTTTTTCTTTTGACAAGCTTAAGATCACACATGAATGTGTCCTTTCTGTTCTTGAAACCAACATCAGGGCTCGCCTGGGTCAGCATTGGCGGCCTTGATGAGGGGTTCAGCTCAGCCTTGCAGAAAGGATTCCTAGACAGATCCCGAGTCTCCGTTTCTCTCTCCTCCCTAGTGCTGGAATAGGTCGGACAGGTGTGCTGGTCACTATGGAAACAGCCATGTGCTTAATTGAGAGGAATCTGCCTATTTACCCGCTGGATATTGTCCGGAAAATGAGAGACCAGCGCGCCATGATGGTGCAGACATCAGTAAGTAGAAACTCAGTAATTAAGAAAAGGTCGTAATAAAACACAAATGGTTGCGGTTGGCTGGGTATAGTGATGCACGCTTCTACTCCCAGCACAGAAGACAAAGGCAGGTGGATGTCTGAGTTTGAGGCCAGCTTGGTCTATATAAAACATCCCAGGTCAGTCAGGACTATATACTGAGACCCTGTCTGAACAATAACAACAACCAGAAGGCAGAGATCCACATTTTCTGAGTTCACACAGGAGCAGTTATAGCCAGGGACGTCGGGGATAGGATGAAGCTCAAGGGAACTGAGTCAGTGCCTAGAGTCACACAGCTTGTCGGAGGTGCAGTGACCGCAAAGCCTGGGCCCATCTGCGTGCAGTCCGTGTACCTCTGGCGTATTCTAGGTGCCACTCAAGCCCAGGAACGGCCCTGCTTGCATCCCATCATCACCATCAGAAGCAAAGTCACCTGGGATCCCTCACCATGGGCTGTCTCTTCCTGTGTTGTGCCTGGGTGCTTACTTAATATGACAAGTGTCCCTAGGAGGAAATACCCTGCTTGTCCTCCTCCTCACACACTGTCAACCTTCTGGTAACCCCTGAACCCCTCTGTGGGCCTCAGTTTCCCTGTCTTGCAGATAGGAGCTGTCCTGCCTTTGATCATTCATTCACTAGACTAGAGTTGTCCAAACAGAAACCACCCAAGCTTGGGTTGAGTAGAACTGGCTAAGTTTGTAATCTCAGTCATGATGGGCAAAGCCCCAAGGGTATCTCAGAATGTTCTAGAAGAATATTTAAAAATGAGTTGTCAAAGACAGGGTAGCAGCCTCCTGATGAAACCTCCGGGGTAGGTGAGACGGTTTAGTTAGCAAGGCAAGAACAGGAACTCTGTGTTCTAACCACTTCAGAGCCATCACAGGCTGCTGGACAGAGGCTGTAATATTTCCCTAGGAGATTATGAGTCCTTAGTTCGTACCTGGGAACTACAGCACAGGCCACAGAGATAACGTAGTAGGTAAGGATGCTTGTTCCCAGTCTGTATGGGATCTCCTGGAAGGCAAGCTCCTCCCACTGCCACACGAATAACTAAGAATAAGAAAACCAATCATCTCCTTAAGGTCATCATCTGCTGTGTTTTAAAGTATGGAAGACTAAATAGATGCTGGTTTGAAATCACCAAACACCCTCAGCCAGTCCTGGTGGTACAAGACTCTCATCCCAGCTAGTCTAGAGGTTGAGGCAGGAGGATTACAATCTTAAGGCTTACCGGACGACTTAGCAAGACCTTGTCAGCCTTCTTCATATGTGGCTCCACTCCCAAGGATTCAAGTGGCCACAGATCAAAAGATGGGGGAAATGCTTCTGCATAACCGTATGAAGACTCTTTTCTCTTCCCCACAAAACACAGTGTAACTATTCATGCTGTGTTATATATTAGGAATAACAAGAGGTAATTTTTGTTTTGCTTTGGGGTTTTGGTGGTATTTGCGATGGAGGTTATTTTGGACTCGCTATGTAAACCATTGGCCTAGAACTCAGGGATCCACCTGCCTCTGCCTCCCAATGGATGTACCACCATGTCCTGCTAGAAAGGTGATTTTGAAAGTATACAGGATGGTATGTGGAGGGTGCTCGTAGGCTATAAGCAAATACTGTCCCATTTTATAGAAAAGATTGGAAGAACTGAGGGTTTGGATATCCACAGGGAGTTCTAAAATCAATCCTCCAAGGATATTGAAGGACTATCTAATAATCAGCATCTTCCCTAACTCCCTTAAGAAAAATGAAATCGAGATTCCTTGTCCCACCCCCAATGCCAGCTCACCTGTGTCTGTATCCTCAATCACCCACCTCTGTCCTGGGCCTCTGCACATGTCCAGGTATTCCAGGCCAGGACAGGAGTGGGGGGTCCTCTCAGACACTTCTCCAAACAGCCCTTTCTTGTCACCAGGGCTTCCATGTCAGTCTTTGTCTTAGTTACTTTTCTCATGGCTGTGTGCGGCCAAGTGCCTAAGAAGCCTGAGAGGAAGGGTTTATCTGTGCTCATAATTTGAGGGTCAGTCTATCATACTAAGAAAGCCATGACAACAAGCACTATAGCAACTGTGTTTAGTCATCAGGCAGAGAAAGATGAATACCGGTCAGTGCTTAACTCCTGTACTTCCTGAGAGCAGCCCCCTACCCCAGTCTGCTAAGATGTGAGTTCCTCTTTCCCAGCAAAGACCAGCATTGGCACCCAGGGTGGAAACATAATAAACATCCCAGAGATACCCTCAAGCATGGGGTGAGGCAGCACTCTTGGGGCTCTGGACTTGACAGCTTTCTTTTCTCTTCCAGAGCCAATACAAGTTTGTGTGTGAAGCGATTCTTCGAGTGTATGAAGAAGGCTTAGTCCAGAGGCTGGATCCCAGTTAAGACAGCTGTGAAGCGGTCATTCCTTCATCCCTGGGGCAACTTCCTGAAGAAGGGGATGCCCATTTCCCTGGAGGCCCCCGGAGATGCTGGTCCCTGTGGGAAGGGATGAGCTTATTGGAACCCAGGCACTTTAAATTCAAATTTCTGTGGAAAAGATACCCTGTACATAGGACCTGCTGATGCAGATATGCATGCCGCTATGACATCTTTGGGCCCAGAGAGATAAGCCGCAGGGGATTTCCAACTGGGAACTGTGTTTCTCCCTCCAACATCACCGCTCCCCGTCAGCCATCCTCAAGCAGTGAGAGGGGACGCCATCAGTACTGTTGACTCTCCTCCCGCCAGAAACCAATGTGGCTACTTGTGGTTGCTCAGGTGTTTTGTGTGTTGATCTGTGTGGGACTGACTCCAAGGGCCGAACTTCCTTGGCAGTTGGTGGCCATTACCCCTGACACCAGGGAAAACTCAGATGAATGTACCATAGGCAGGGCACAAGGGACTCCAGGCTGGAGGATGAGCAGGGTCTATTCTGCCTTCCATCCCTCTGCCTCATCTCCACTCCTTCTGAGCTCATGTTCCAAAGCACCCCATTCCCCTGACCCCTGAATTCCTTTCTTCAGGATCACCCCCAGTGCCTGAACCGGTTTCGTAATGTATGTTCAGGTGGCTTCTCGGCTGAGACTGGGAAATGGTCTCTGCCTAACGCCGAGTCTTACTTAGCTTTAGAAGCAGGTGAGCCTCTGCTCACCCCTTACTGTTACTCAGACACCGTGACTGGAATCGCCGACTACTGAATCTCTATATGGATTGCTGCTACTTCAAGCTCTCACACTTGAAACAAGACGATTTTCCTGGGGACGGGAGGGATGGGAGCATCCAGATATCCAAATAGCATCCAGAATTTTGAACCCTTCTGAGAAAAGAACTTGTAGTAAGTGACCATAAGAAACACTGCTTCTTGAGGGTGGCGTGTGTGTGCGTGTGTGTGTGTGTGATGGGTGACCTTTCTCAGGATTCCTGACTTGATTCAAATTACTGTTGAGTTTATGTAAAGAATGAATCTCTGTACAGAACAAATGTGTGCATTCATCCTTAGTTACAATGGTCTCCATTTCATTTCAAAGGAGAGAATCAGACTATCTGAATATAAACACAATTTGATGTTAATTTATTCTAAGTACTCTGGGATGTTGATTGTCCTCAAGAATTCTGCTTCTGTGAATACCATGGTTAAAATTTTTTTAAAAAAATTTTTGGCAGGATTGTAGCGAATTATTATTTAAGGAAAAATAAATTACATGTATGCTTTAAGGTGGTATTTTTAAATAGCAGTTTTTGTGTATTCAGAAGAATGTCAGCAGGTTTCTTAGTGGTACTTATGGGAAAGGGATACTTGGGTGTTATCGTGGAAGTCTGTGAAGCTACATTGATACTTAGCAGGCCCTGAGCCAATTAAAGCAAGGTGGGTAGGGACCGTGCAGAGGAGCCCAGGTTTCTGAACGTTCTTTATGTTCTGAACATTCTTTAGCTGTAGGTTCAGCACCTCCTTCTACTTCCCTCCTGCCTGTCTCTTACCCACGCACATCTTACTGCTCTATGGTGTGAGCGGGAGAGTGCAATCCCCGGTGCCCTATGTAACGAGAAACTGGAATGGGTCTCTAGCCCACTCAGTGCCAAGTTAGCCCTCTGCCTAGGAACCTGGGAACTGTGTCTGTGCTTCCTTCTGCGTAAGATAATGAGATCCAATACTTGGAACTTGAAGACAGAATGAGATCATACTATGGAAATTAATTTCCGGCCACTGGAATATTTAAACGAGTGCTACTGAAGACTTAGGGAAGTTGACTTCTCTGTGGTTGACCCCAAAATGCATCAGAAATATGGAACCCACTGAGTTTTCATAGGGCGGTGTTCCAGAGGGAAAACATTCAGAAGACAGAGGACTGATACCTTTCTTCAGCCTAGATTCTGAAAACACCCTCAGCAAAGCACCAAAAAGAAGGAGGCGCAGAGAATGCTGGCTGCATTGCAGGGGAGTCAGGCTGCTCAGCAAACCACTGTTTGATTGAAATGTTTATCAACACCCTGTGTGCAAAGCCCTTGCAAAGACTCAATGTCCTTGGAGATTGTTCTATGATTTTCTAGAAACAGGCTGTTGAATGTGGTCAGGAAGACGCTGCTGCTCCACTTACATAATTGTCCGGGAAGCTCGAGGAGGCTGCAGCTGGCCTCTCTGCCATTGTGTGGGGCCAGCAGTTCAGACACAGCAGACAGCGCCAGAAACAAAGTCCCTGGCATCCTGGGAAGGGCAAGACGAGAAGATAATAATCTCAAGGAGCAGAACCCCCAAGTAAACGGGGTCAGCATTACCAGTCACAAACCAAAGCTCTGAGCTCCCGTTCCCCTGCATCCTACACTTCCACAGCTGCTCTTAAGAAAACAAGTTTCATCCCGAGAATTGCATCAGAATCAGGCTAAATATTTTGCCTGGGAGATTTGGCTGGATGTGAATGGAGAAGATATTTATAGCCCATATTCTAGCACCTTCCAGAAGATCATATCAGATGCCCCAATGTGCTGGCTTCATCCGGATGGGTCCCCTGCTGGCATCGCTCTCTAGAACCCATACATGGTGAGAAAAATTCAGAGAAGCTTGTTTAGGGGTAGGGAGACAGGGTGGCTGGATCTCAAACTTGTAGCAGTATTTTTAGCTTCCTCCCACGGTCATTGTTACCTAAATGTTTTGAGACTAGTGTAGCTTCTCTTACAGCTGGGTTCCTGGTTGATCTCCCCCACCACCCATCCCCAGCCTTACAATTTTTCATTTGGGGGGCAGTGAGTACCCTCTTCATCCTCCCAAGGTAACTAAGAGGCAGTATCCGCAGGAGAGATTGTAAGAGACAGGACCTAGTCCAGACCTGATCTGACAGATATTTCTCCCTCTGGTCTCAGGTAATTGTGTGTTCGTGTGTTTGCTTCGGTTGAAAGGGACTGATGACCAGATGGACAAAATGAACTCACAATTAGATTGCAGGGAAACGGTTTAACCTTAACCAATTCCGAAGAACTGACCTAGAGAAACATACCCTGTTTTTTTGACTTGTGCCTAAAAGGTTGTCTCAGCCCTTGTCATTGTGGAGTTGTGATGATAAAACTCACCACCCTCCTGGTTCTTGCCTGTCATCCTAGAGCAGGCCTAGTAAAGATGGCAAAGCCCTGGCGACCTCAGCCTGGGGAAAAGCACACCTCGGAGATGGACACGAGCCCTGCCCCTGTCTTGATAGCTCTCGTACCACTGGAGCAACCAAAGGACTGTGCTAAGCCGTGTTTTGTAAAGTATCTTAGTCGATCAGCAATATGTTTTTCTGTAAACTTGGAATGTTTTTCATTCTGACTTATTGTCGGGGACTCTACTGAAAAACAGTTTGATCAATATAAAAGCACTCAGACTATGCAACACTGTTACTGTCTGTGCACAGTTTTATTGGTATGTCTGATTCCTGCCCCTGCTCCTGTCAACTCAAATGCTGTCTATCCATCTCACCCTCGCTTTGGTTGTGATTTCTCAGGCAGCATTTGGCCTTAACATTCACGTTGGGTGACCGATTTTAGTCCAGAATTGTGTTCTGCTATTGTAGAAGCTTGCACGAAGCCCTACCCTTCCTCCTGCAGGGTTGCTGAGTGGTTCTGCGATCAACAGGCTCCCAGGTTCCCCCAACCTGCTCTCCCGTACTCAGGATGCAGCTTCTACCTTGACGTCCAGACACATTCAGGTGCTAGACAGCATAACAGGAAGGGGAAGAGAAAAGCAAGACCTATGTCCTTAATCCCAGGGCCATAGCTCTTTCAAGGGGGTAGTTTTATTGCCAAGAAACCATACGCTGGGGCTAGGGGTGTGCTCAGTTGATAGAGTGCGTGCATAGCTTGCACAAAGCCCTGGGTTCAATCCAGGAAATAGAAGCAGGAGGACCAAGAGTTTGAGGTCCTTTTGTTACATATCAAGTTCAAGACCGCCTTGGACTACATGACATGAGACCCTAGTGAGATGGCTCAGTGAGTAAAGGCACTTTCTATGGAGCCTGATGACCAGAGTTCCATCCCCAGATCCTGTGTAGTGGAAGCAGAGAGCCCTGCACGCTTTCCTGACCCCCCCCCCCCATACTCACACACCTACAAAGTAATTAAACGTTAGAAAAATATTTCAAGGGCCTTGGTGGCAAACGCCTTTAATCCCGGCACTCAGGAGACAGAGGCAAGTGCATCTCCAGGAATCCATTACCAACCTGGTCTGCATGATGAGTCCCAGGCCAGCCTGAGATGGGCGAGACCCTGTCAACCAGAAAAAGAAAACAGTATGCCCAACTAAAATTCATGTGGTCTAGCTGAGAAAGAATTTGAGGGACAGTGAACCCTTTGTCCCCATGTGGTCACTCTTCTCCCCATTCAACAGCACAAACTCCATGTCATCATGACATATGACTAAAAGAAAATTACTGAAGTAGTGATTTTCAGGCTTACCTATCTACTTTTGATATGTGTGGGGTTTTGTTTATTTGTCTGTTTGGTTTTATTTAATTCCCTGATTACTTGACAGCCATAGTTCTCACATAATTTGTACAGAACAACAGTGAAGTCAACCCAGGAAGCAGCCACTGGAAATATGGGTGAGCCGGCAGCATGGAGTCACCATCCCACACGGTCAGCCAGTCCTGTCACCGCACAGGAAGAGCAGAGCTCCCTCTGGCAGTGACCAGTCCCTAGAACAGCACCTGACAGTCCAGTTCTGCCCTCTGGGGAGATTCCTGTCCTTCCACCGTCACGTGAGACTCCCAAATGGTGGCCATGGCTCCAGCCCAGATTTTCTTTCTTTTTTTTTTTTTTTGTTTTGTTTTTTTGTTTTTTCGAGACAGGGTTTCTCTGTGGCTTTGGAGTCTGTCCTGGAACTAGCTCTCTAGACCAGGCTGGTCTCGAACTCACAGAGATCCGCCTACCTCTGCCTCCCGAGTGCTGGGATTAAAGGCGTGCGCCACCATCGCCCGGCTTCAGCCCAGATTTTCTAGCTTGCCCACTTTGGGGGAAGACTTGGAGGTTCATCCAACTGCTTTCAGGGTTCTGGAAGACAAAGCTTTCGGGTTTTTCATAGCCAAAGATCTGGTCTTGATGTCACCCCAGATCCTCTAGCTGTGCCTCTTCAGTTTGAAGTTGGTGGCCTCCTAAAAACTTAGTTTGACAGGTTGCCCCCAGATCTGGCCTTGGAGCTGCAAGGCTCCCACATTTTGACTGGAAACCCTTGCTGCTCTTGTCTGGTATCTTCACACTTCAAGGCTGTTGCTGTTGAAAGCTGCATTCGGGAGGACAAAAGAATTGGCACTTTTCAATGTTTGAAGATATTAATCAGCTCCAAGTGCAGGCTACCATCCGCCAGCTCTAGAGCGCAGCATGCGTCCTTCCTGTCGCTGATGGCCTTGGTTCTTTCACTTTCAGTGGACCTTGTGAAAGGCGAAAAGGACCAACATTCACGCTTCTGCATCCTGCCACCGTTTTCTCTGCTGCTGTGGCCTTATTATGTAGCCTTATCTTCAGGGTAGCACAGAAGCCAATTTTATCATGTGTATTTTTGCCTTTGCTGACCCACTAAGTCCATTGAGCCCCTGGCACATTTTAGGTGAGGTTTGCAATGTAGTTTTTTTATGTATCCAAAAGCCAAAGCAAAGGTGACTGGAGTAAAGTAGTTTACTTCTTACAAACTCGGGTTCTTGGAATTAAAATGGCTTGTGAGCTACCTAATATGGTATTGGGAACCAAACTCAGGCTCCCTTGAAAGAGCAGCAAATGCTCTTAACGTCTGAGCCATCTAAATGGCTGAGCCAGCCCTAAAATTCAGTTCCATTAACAGGGGAGGGGGGTGATTATATAGACACAGTTGGCATCCTCCCCTGGAAACAACAGTCTCTTTCCATCCTCTACACCAACTTAGAAGAGTCACTTCTGGCCACAGCCAAACCCTGGCTGACCCGGGCCTTCTGAACCAGAGACAAGCACAGACAGGTCATTGTAGGTGGCAGCAAAGGTCCCCAGAGAGATAGATCGTAGCAGAGGGGATGGAAGTAAGTTGGCATGGCTTAAACCTGTTTCTCAGGAAGGAGTGATGGCCAGTCTGCCCCATGGCTGGCAGGTGCTCAGGGGGAGAAGCTAACAACAGGACTGTTTCCAGATGGCAGCTGGATGGGATGGGTTCCACAGACGGGAACTAGACACTGGGAAGAGAGGTGTTGTCCTTTGGATCTAAGTCTAAGTTAAGGCCATGTGGAGCTCCTCTCGGGAGCCTAGGCAAGCTAGCTATATATGAAACTCACTCTAGGTGATTCTTGTACCATTTTTATTTAGATATCAATCCATTCAAATGGTGTTGGTTGCCAAATCTAGTGATTAGAATGCCCCTCTCATAGGGGTGGAGCGATGGCGCAGTGGTTAGAATCTCTAGATGCCCTTCCAGAGGAACTAGTTTGGTTCCCAGCTTCTAGTTTCAGGTGCCTCCCAACCTCCTTTAACTCATCTCCAGAGGTTCTGATGCCCTGCCTCTTCTCACACATGCTGCTCTGCAGCGGGCCCAAGTTCTTTGGTTCTCTATTCAGGGTATAGCCCACTGTTTCTGGGAAGTCAGGGCAACAGGCGCTGGTGATGTTTTGTCTGCCGTCGGGGAAGAAAGAAGAGCCATAAACGCATGTATACTGCCCTCAGTACTCACGCCTTCTCATTCAGGATAGGACCCTCAACCCAGGTAAGGAAGTCCCTCGTGTGTACCCCCACAGGTCAAACTAATCTAGACAATTCCTCACCCCAACTCCCCCGGTGATTCTGCATAGTCTACAGTCAAGACCACACCATCTCACAAGGGGAGATAGCTTCATATAGGAATTGTTCAGTCTGCTAGCTTCTCCTATTTATCCTAGTTCTTTCTAGAGGCCCAGATTCTCTGACTTTCTTCTCCCCACCTCGCCTCTGGGTACCAGAGCTCTTAGAGGCTTCACAGGTGCTTGGGAGCAGGGCTCACCGGAGGTGGCGGTTGGGTTCTGAGCCTGGGTCCTGATGTCCTCTGTTGGCCGACCGACTTGGCACACGAGCTTTCGCGGTTTTCTCTGATAATGTTCGCTCTCCAGTGTAGGTGCCCATACTTCCTCCCTCCGTGGGGGCAGAGATGCCCACTCTAGTCTTCTATTTGTCCATCGTGCTAACTCATTTTCTTGTTCTTCGTCATCTAAATTGCACAGCTAATAAAATGGCGGAGAGAAGAGGACACTTGGGATGAAACACACGTGGCATTGCCAGGAGGAAGCACAAAAGAGACCAGCCTAGTGGGAAGGGTAATGTCTGGAGCAGGGCAGCTGCTGGGCTATGTCCCCAGGATGACATCATTCTGGCCTAGCACCCTGGCCCCTCTGGGAAGGAACTCTGGCCTTAGATTTCACTGAGACTGTAGAGAGAGGCCTGTCTGGCAAGCTGTGGAGGTGTGGAAATGAGGAGGAGATGATAGAGATCAAGGCCAGAAGTCAGGTTTCTGAACAAAACACACTACTTACAGCCACCATAAAACCCTCCTTCACATGAACAGGAAGACCTAGAGAAACCCTTTCTGAAGTAAGTATTAAAATCCCTAGGTCCTCCACAGCCTGTTGCTTGTACCTAGTCTATGTTGTAGTTAATTATAATAGCTTGTAGGAGTTCTGCTTTTGACTTGGGTCAACCCTATCCAGAAGCGTAGTAGCTCAGAGGCCTAAGAGCTGGCCCTTTCTTACTATGTACCACTCCTACTTCAACCTCTCGTGTTCCTCCTAACTTACTCAAGCACATCATCCTCAGGTATGACCTCCCAGAGGGGTGGTGTGTGTGTGTGTGTGTGTGTGTGTGTGCACATGCGTGCCTGCCTGCCTGTCCAACTGTGTGTACTTTTAAGCCTTTCTCATTTAGGAGAAAGTTTCTCCCCTCTACTTTCTTCACACTATCAAGAAGAAAGATGTTCATAGCAAGCTGCTTTGCAACCCCCCCCCCCCAATCACCTACCCATCCTCTAATTGGTGAGTTAGTAGATGAGACGCAGTTAGTCTTCTCAGCTGTGGGTCATTACCTACTCGTTAAGAGCGCTGGAATGCTGACTCAGGTTTCATGGATTGACCTTAAAAACGTTATCAAGGGCTGGCAAGATGGCTTAGTGGGTAAGAGTGCTTGCTACCCAAACATGTGGATCTGAGTTCTAGTCCCCAGCACCCACATAAAAAGCTAGGTGTGATAACCCCAGCTCTATGTGGGTACAGAGACAGGAGGACTATTGGACTTTCTGGCTGCCAGCCCCAGGTTCAGTAAAAGACCTTGTCTCAAGGGGCTATGGCAGAGACTAACACTTGACATCCTCCTCCCAGCCTCCGTCCATGAATATACATACATGAACACCACACACACAC